TGATGAACAGAATATGTCACTCGCCTGAATAGTTCGGCCATAATTTGGGGATCATTTCCCTTAGGAAAAACATAGAAAAACCATGATAGGGAAACTATTAGGTGCTTGGGAAACTCGAATTGTGAATGTTTTTTGCTCCCTCCGTTCACCCTGGATAGTAACCAACATTGATTGGGGGCTATTACTCATACCAGTCTCAAAGGGGTTATACCGCATAATGACCCAATAAGATCCCATTAATATCCCATTGTATCCCATGAATATCCCATAAAATCCAATAAACATAATAAACCACTTGTCCAACTTTGAGGGTGGTTTGGGGTGTAGGGTCCACCTCTTTATGCAAAATGGGTGTACAAAGATCTCAGGGGTATGGCGGCAACCATCGAAGATCTGGCAATTTTGACCCATAAAAGTCTTACCCTTTGGTTATTGAACGTAGCTATGGAAATGGCCCATTTATGGATGATTTATGATGATTTACCTATTAAAAATGGTGATTTCCCATAGCTACGTTAGATAACCAGAGGGTAATCGAAGAAAATGGGACTGAAACAGGGTGGAGTTGGAATCTTTCGGGCACATCAAGGAGTTTCAAATGTCATCTGAGTTCGCCTGTCAGTTTTTGATTTTGGCAAAAATGCACTCATCTCCCTCAGAAAAAAGCGTAGCACACCCAGAAATTCTAGCTTCCTCTAGCAAGACTCTAGTACAAGTAGGCCCTACCGAAATAGATCGCAGTGATTCATATATATATATATATTATATTATATTATATTATATTATATATTATATTATATATTATATTATATTATATTATATCATATCATATTATATTATATTATATTATATTATATTATATATATATGTATAATATGTATATACAGTATATATATATATATATTATATGTATACAGTAGATAATGCAGATTTTTTGGGTTGCCTCCAATTGTCGACCCCAACGATTCCTTGCACCACTGCTGAGGCGCGAAAGATACGTGGAGGGCGTTCGATTTCGCTCAAGTCATCGGCTTTGGACCTGGGTCGCAAAAATCGGGACTTCCCAAGAAAAGTCCCAAACACATCATGAAAGATATGGGGATATCCGGGATATCATTGAAAAAACACCTGGTTGGTTGATGATGTGGGGTTGTACTATCATATCATGGATTCAATGAAACATCCCAGCTTTATACCCAATGACTTGACTACCTGGAATTCAAAACCCGTCCTCGGGTTCTCCTTTTAAAGAGCCTTGGGCTTTGAGGCTACATCAAATCGAGACGGTGAAACCGCGAGGCGCATCATGACTCTAGGGGGTCCAAGGTTGCTATGCATTCTCCAAACCTCTGAATCAGACAGATCTTCACTTTTGTCTGAAAATGCCCTAAAATTGGATGGTTTATCATAAATTCATATAAATTCTCCCATCAAAATGACCATTTGAAGGTGCTGTGTTTTCCTCACAACAACCGCGGTTAAAGCCATAGCCGTAGCCTTATAGCCTTGCAGAATCCGAGCTGCATCCCAGCCATGGCGTGCTTCTGTAACAAGCTTCGGTCCTTTTTGGCCAAGTCGATATGACATGACGATCCCAATTCCACTGGGCAGCCAATAGACATCTTAGTGGAAACAAATCCAAGAAATCTGTATATCAATGGCAGCCATGGTCGAAATCTGAAAACCAAAGAGGCCCAAAAAACTCCAGAAACAAATCGCCCCCCGAAAACCCCACCTTTACGGCGCAGCTCTCATCCGAACAATCGCCCAGGGCCTACGAGGAGCTACGAGGAGCGCATAAAAAAAAAAAAACATGGCTCAATGGATTGATAGGGGAAACCATCTATAAATGTATGGTTCTATATGTAGATAAATATTATAATGTTATATATATATATATATACATACACATGAATCATATAGAGAGAGAGAGATAGATAGGAAAGGATAGGATAGGATAGGAAGGGAAGGATAGAGGATATAGGATATAGGATATAGGATATAGGATATAGGATATAGGAAAGGAATAGGATATAGGATATAGGATATGAATATAGGAAAGGAATAGGATATAGGATATAGGATAGGAATAGGATATAGGATAGGAATAGGATATAGGATAGGAAAGGATAGGAAAGGATAGGAAAGGATAGGAAAGGATAGGAAAGGATAGGAAAGGATAGGAAAGGATAGGAAAGGATAGGAAAGGATAGGATAGGATAGGATGGGATAGGATGGGATAAGATAGGATAGATAGGATAGACAGATAGACAGATAGACAGATAGACAGATAGACAGATAGACAGATAGAGATAGATATAGATGATGTAGATGATATAGATATAGATATAGATATAGAATGATATAGATATGGACAGATAATGGATATATGGTGAGGAAAATCTGCAGGAAACCAATGTTTTTTTGTTTTTTTGGGGGGGCCTGAAATATCTTGAGGCTTCTGACAGAGTGGGCCCCTATGGTTGAAACCGCCGGTACTCTTTATCTGACACAGGATGGATGCACGATTTACCATTATGAATGGAGGATTTGCTGGGAAAATCATAGTAACTATAGCTGGTGGATGTGAAAAAGCACGCCATGGCAACAATGACACCGGAGGGTACCATGTTCACTTGCCAAAGATCCTGCCATTTTCTTTAGGCTTCCAGGCAAGTTTGGTGGCCGTGCCCTTTCCAGTGGTGACATGTTGGGATTCTGTACACAAAAAAACCTCACGCCACAGTCCACCGCATCACAGTCCACCATGTGAACTCCCCGATGCCCAGCGAAAGATTAACGTTGAGCTCACTGCGCCTGCAAAATGGGAAGAGCCAGCAGCACAGGACGCAAGGTCATGCGCATGACGGCCTCATTGGTTTTTTCAGTTGCGGAAAAACAAACCACTCATGAACTCCCCGGTCGCCCCGATTTCATCAGCCAGAAACGAAATTCAGAGCTTTCGAATGCTAAATCGCCATGACTGCAAACGATGAAAAGACACATCTGGACAAGAATTGCACATGACTTTTGCTCAGATACTTCCAATAGCTTTGTTGCAAAAAAAAACAATGTATACCAAAACCAGCACGGACCTAGATCCAAAGATTTTACTCATACAAAAGATTATCTTGTCGCATGCTACCAATGTTTTGTTCTGTGCTGCCAGCACCAGATTACACTGATCACTGGTTGCTTCAGGGGATTAGCCCCAATGTAGTGATAATCAGGATTGACATCAAATATATCGAATATCCCAAAGTTCCCTTTTCACCCAAAAAAGAAGGAACACCCACCTATATAAGTGGCTTTTCAGCTGCAGTTTCAAGCCATTACCCTTAATGAATACTGTAGTCACTGTAGTCATGGTGAATCATCCCCAGTAGGGAGAGATTTGTCAAACATGAGCCCATTGACCAGCCAGCTACAGCTGCTTTCTGATCTTTCTGACCTTCAATCAGGCTGATTTCTTGTGGTAAATCGACGATCGCGAAATTCTGCCAAGTTGCTGAAAGAATGGACGGGGAAGATGAGGTAAGGTCTGTAAGGTTTGGAGGTGCTGAAGCCAAAACACCCCGGAAGAGCCCAGTGCGGCCATGTTTTTTAGCGTTGAACCCTGGATGAATCGGACGAATCAATCCCTGGCTTATCTCAAAATTTGTCTCCCGTCCTGGCAATGACCAGAAAACAGGTCACAGTTGAGAGATGCTCCATTGCCACAACCCATCCCTAGATATTTACCCAGCTCAACATGGCCATTTTCCATGGTAAAGTGATGTTAGATTCTGAGAGGCTACATGTTGGCACCGCCCAAATGCCAGATCGTGCAGGGCCTTTTCCTTTACTACTTTCAACTGCCATGAGTCAACTGAAACACGTCTCTTCGCTAAGAGAAACTGACCAATGACGCCCTTGGGCCATGTTAAAATCTCAGCAACTTACACCCTTGCAAAATAACATACATCTCGAAAGACGAAAAAAGCCTCTCTAAACATGGCACCTGCGGTCAAGGGTTTTATCTTAACATGGAAAAAGTCTACGCCATGGATTTGAAATTTGCTTCTATTCTATGTTAAGATTTGAGGTTCACATGTTGGGAAAGTCAAGTGGATTGCCAAAAAAAAACAAAAAATGGGGTTCAACATCGATTTTCTGTTAATATTCCATGTTAAAGGGCCAAAACCCCAAAACCGTGTAAATACCGCGTAAAAAGGTGCCAAGTTCCATGTTAATCTCTGAAATTGCCAAAATCGTGATTTTTGAGGTTAACCTGGACCATCACCAGAAACACCCCCCAATTAACATGGACAAGTTGTTATTTTTTGTTTTTGTCCATGTTATTTTTCCAGGGAGTACTAGAATTAACACATCTGAGCAGTGTTCAAAAGCCGAAATGTCATCCCTTTGCAGCAAGGGTCAACTGGCCACTGGTCATCTGAAAATAAACCAATCAACTGGGTCACCTTCATGTGCCGATGGTAGACATCCCAGCTAGAAAGGCTGCTTCCTCACCAGATATAAAGATAAAGGCATATCTGAAAATGCGACATACCCCGCAAAATAACGTTATTTTAATATGGAGAATGATCACAAACCACTGGATTCCCAGACATCCTCTAGAAAAAAAACAAAAACAAAAACGCCGCACTATGCAGATCGTCATATAGAATACCATGTGACCTGGGCTATAATTCACCAACCTGAAATTCTTGGAGGTAGATAGTTAACCCAAAAAAATCACCATCCGGTCGATGTCGTCCAGTGACGCGGGTCTATAAAAAAGCAACCCGCAAGCCCCGAAAAAATAGAAAAGTAAAATCCTGCTAAAATTGTGGTAAATCACTGTTCTATACGTTTTTGGAAATTGCTACGTAATATATATATATATATTAATTCACTGATTCGACCATATGTGAGATGTTGTGAGATCATCTCAAGAACTAGAGACATTTATAAGCCACAAATCCTCCACTCCACTGGGTCCACTGTGCTGCCCCTACGGAATTTCAGAGTCCAGGAATCTCTTCATGGATGACTCAAAGGTCTCATTCACCTTCACCTGGAGGTTTGGAATTCACACAGCTGGGATGGCAATGAGAATTTTAAGCGACCTTTGGACCGCCAGCGCAAAAAAGGCAAGGTGGACCTGAAAATTGGAACAGGATGGCATCATGGATTATACAAAAATTGCTTCCAATTATGATACACCAAGTGGATTATCATTACAAAATGATCATGGAAGTGGATTATTCAGTGGTGTATCATCATGTTTCCCACTTTACTCACGACTGGGTTATTCAGTGTGAACCCCCCATTTTTGATCACAGAGGTGGGCAAAATCCCATAAAATATCCCATAAAACATGCCCATAAAAAGGTTGGTTAATATCCCATATATATATATATATCCATGTATATTCTAAGTGAATGTTCCCAAATGTTGGTTGTTAAACTCCTATGGCATATCCCCTGATACACCTATCTGCATGGTTCTGCATGGTTCCCTGCCAATGTTACAAGTTACAACATATTAAATATCATAAACCACCAAAAAAAAACTTGCTATCCATTGGTAAGCAAGTCAAACCGTTCTTGTTCGTAAATCCTGTTAGTGTTGGTAAATCCCACTTGGATTTGCAGAAGTAACCCCAAAAAGTGAACTATATTCCCAAAAAAAGATTCCCCATGATTCGTGGATGTCCCATTGCGAAACTGCCAAAACATGACAAAGCAAAAATCCAACATCATCCACCAACATTATCATTCATAGCCACTTATATATATATATATATTATATATATATATATTCATTCTGGAGGTTTCCTAAAATAGGGGTACCCTTAAATCATCCATTTTTAGATAGACTGTCCATGAAAAAAACCATCCGATGCGAGCTTGGGGTATCCCCATGGAAAACCCCAGATGTATCCCACCGGTGCCACCTGCATCCCTGCGAGCCCTGCCAGTTTCTTGGGTGCCATGGCTTGTTCCTTAGCCACCTCGCAGTGCAAAGAGCTTTGTTTTTTGGGAGGAAGCATGAAAAATTCAGTGGCCTTTGGGATTTACATTGCCTTTCATATGGGATTATGAGGGATTATGGATGATTTAAAAAAAATGATGATTGGGATGGTAATAACTGGTAACATGCAGCCAGTTATGGGTTGAAACAATGGACTTGTGGCGTATGGAATTTCAACTGATCACCGGGGAAACACGGTTTTTCTTCATCAACCAGGCTCAAGCGATCCGGAAATGATGACCCGAAATCATTGGGAGAAAAGAAAATAGAGGACCTAATCGGGACCTTAGGGTCCCAAGGATAGAAATCCAAGATCTTTCCAGAAAACATCGCAAGCAAAGCCAGCAACAAACCATCAAGGCCTTGGCGGCCGAAGCTCCCGAGAAACCCATTAGGATGATCATCAGCCAACCGTGGATCCCCATCATATCCTCACCCTCTGGTAATCAAACATAGGATTACCATCTGCCAATTTTTGGTTGTGGACTTCCGAAAAAAAGCCATGTTTGATGACACCGGAGGCAAAAAAAGCGATGCATATCCCACTACCATCTGGTTATTTAACAGTTCGCCATGGAAAATCACCATTCTTTTCATAGGTAAACCATCTATTTCTATGGGCCATCTATACCATGGCGAACTGTTAGTCATATCCAGAGGGTAATAGTAAAAACCATATGAAAAAACCTTCATTGATCCCATGACAATCTCCTTCTCTCCTATGGAGATCCTCACCGTCCATCGCCTGCTTCCTGACTTCCAACTGATCGATTTCATCCTCCATGGACCCCCAAAAATGGATCATGGATCAGATCACCATATGGTGACGATTTTTTTCATCACCATATGATAAAATATATCCATATCAATAATATTAATCCAATGTCATACAGTTCATGTGGTGATGATTTTTGTTGGATGAAAATCATCCAATGTTGCGTCTAATCATGACTAATCTATGATAGATATTGGATGATCACCATAGATTATGGATAATAGTCCATGATAGTCTATGATAAACTATGTGATTTGCCAATGGATCATCATGGACAATGATGGATCATCATAGATTATGATGGTGAAAATTGGGCAGATATGGCACCAACAAGGCTGTGAGTTAAAGGAGGCAGGGAAGCTGCTCCATGAATATACTCGATGAATATTCCATGAATATCTCCATGTTGAAATGAAAAACACACACATATATTTCATGATGTCAATGTTCAGTGAAAAAGTATTTCATGACTTATATTCCATTCAAAAATAGCAATTCAGAAATATTCCATTGATTCTGGGTATAATATTTCACTAACCTGAATTAAGGCCATTTTGGGATGATTTCCCTTATTAACCATGATTCCAGGCTTCGGTCGCAGTGAGGTCGTTATAATTTACCCAGATTGATAGCAGCTCCGGAAAAAATTTTCGCCATCCCCCACCGTGTCCCCTTGTGCCATCCCCCAAAGTGGCGCGCCACGTCCTGGGTCATGGCCGCGAAGCGATCCTGCTCCGTGCGGGCGCGGGTGCTCTCCTGATATTGCGCCCAGGTGACCTGTCGGGCTGACAGATGGGGGACCTGGTGACCCCTGGTGACCCCTGGTGGATGTCGATTTTTCATGGCTTTTCATAAGGAAAAATATGAAATCATGGCAACTTAACATACTGTTGGATGTGGCATGATGAAAAATAATGGCAACTTCAAGATGGGCTTTGAATATGGGTAATGGGAAAAAAATGGTGGTATACCAACTTCATACATCTGAATGGGCTTTCATAGGGTTGATCTATGCTTGTTTTATAAGGTTTAATGATAGATTCATGGGGATTTAATGGTATATTAGTGGAGATATTTCATGGTTTATAACATCTTATAACTAATCAACTAATCAACTATAATTAATCCCTTCCCTCGTTCATGTTTTTGACACCCCCATAGTTTCTATGGTCCACATCATAGTTTCTGGGTCTGTTCCATATGAACGGGCGCAACGGGATTTTTCATCAATATCTGTGGACCTGCGTTCAATTGTGTATACTATGCATGTACCGTATCTACCAATCTACCTAATGTATCCTAATGTGGGTAAAACAACAGTAAACCATCCCCCAGTCATCACCATTTTTATAGGTGATAGAAAATGTTCCCCAGATGGCTGGTTGATGATGGTTTTACCCTCATTATTCATGTTACCCTCTGGTTATGTCAAAATAGCTATTGAAAATGGCCATAAATAGTGGATTTTCCATAGTTACGTTAGTTTACCAGAGGGTATTTCATTGTTCTACATCTATTTTCTCGGAACTCTCTTTTGAGTGTCACTGTGTGCACTAAAATAAGACGAAGATGCGCCAGTTTGGTCCGGCACAAAAAACCAGCCTCCCGTCGCTCCGTCGTATTGTACCTGAAGCAGCTGCTACAGCCATATGAATCTTCCCAGCTCTATGAATAGGTATAGCAATGTATAGTACCAATACATGAATAAGCACAGCCATTTAAACGTAACCCATTCTGATTGTGGATTGGCTCGGCAACTTCCTGTCACCTGGGTCCCAGTGATTTTTTTCCACGGAGATGAAACTGAGACCGGAACTTGTTCAAGAGACTGCAAGGACCAAACCACTGGCTTCGATGCCACCTTTTTCAGTACACAGTTTGCCCTGAGTTTCAACATGTTTCAACCAGTACTTTTCTGTGGGTTGAGAACCAACCTGCCACCATCCCGGGCACTCTTTGAAGTGCAGATGTGTAAACTCTTCTCGCAGGGTTCTTCGAGATGAAGCACCTCCAACGTTGGTTGCGAGACTGGCAAGAATTGATCACAAGATATCACAAGTGCTCCCTCAAGGCATGCGTCTGGATGTGATCCCTCCTGGTCTTGCTACAGCCATCCTACTGTCCTATACAGTGAAAAGGTGTCGGCTGGTTCCTTGGCTGCTGCTCAAAGAATCGTCTGCTGCTCAAAGAATCGTCTTCCGGACCCCAGTTCCTCGAACAGTCCTAGCACGAAAAAAAAACATTTCCCCGCTACAAGTGGGGGATGATTGAATTCCAGCTTTGATGAATAACTCTAATCCCTTCCCCCTACTATTAAACACCCCCAAGAAATGATAGTTTGTTATAGGGAATGACATCACAAAAAATGGGGACCTTTTGTGGCGTGGGGGTGTTGAACATGGTTTAACTGAACTCGTACGAACAGGGGATGGGATATCATATCATTATCCCCATGATATACCCACCCTAGGTGTCCCGACAGAGCATCCTCAACTTCACAGGCGATACCTCGACGACTCGACCGTTGGGATTTCCAGTGGACCGGAGCCTCCGAACTTTAAAAATTCGAAGACAAGACCATGGAGTTTCCTGTTCTTAATTTCATTGGGGGAGGGGGTAACTAATCAAGGACACACCAAATCTATATGCAGTTCAGTTAGTCATATGTCAAATAACTGTGGATCAAACTCTATACTATTGTATACTATAGATAGATATAAAATGATATAAATAGGCAACTAAAATCGCGCTGTGTCAAATTTATCAAACACGGATCAAAAATGATCAAAGCATATGTTGTTTTCACAGAATAGAGAACTAAACCTGCCCCACTTAGGATCCCTCAAAATGATCCTCCAATGAAAAATCCCCATCATACAGGATTTCATACAGGATTTCATCATTCCTTATTGAAAATCAATACTTTTTACCATCATTTACCATCATTTACCATCATTTTCCATCATTTTCCATCATTTTCACTGATGAAATCCCCATAAAATGGTCATCTCTCAGTATCCGCACGTCAGGCGTCCATGCAATCATTGCCTTGGAAAGACAATCCGATTGCATAACGATAGGGATATTCGATAAGAATTATACAGTAATCATACAGTGTATTAAAAAAAAGGTTTAAGATAATGGGAAAACGTGTTTTCTACATACCCTCTGGTAAACTAACGTAACTATGGAAAATATTTTTTTTAATGGGTAAATCCACGAACCAAATGGCCATTTTCAATAGCTATGTTAGTTTACCAGAGGGTACCTAATACAATGTCACAATATGTCACAAGTATCTACTGGAAACATGTTTGCTGATATTGGTAATTAGTAACAACTCCAGATCCGGAATTGCAAAGATGATCTGAAATTACATTCCATACAATGGTGGATAGAAATAAATATAGATAGCACAAACAAGTTGTGGAACTACCACAAGCGACAAAAAGGAGGAAAACCAAAACTCCATTGCTAATCTACTGGTAAACTACAGTAGCTATTGAAAATGGTCATTTAGTTCGTTGATTTACCCATTAAACATGGTGATTTTGCTAGTTATGTAAACGTTTACCACAGGCTAATCCACTGGAATGTGTTGAGCCCAGTCATTTTAGTCCGTCCGCTGTGTCGCCCTTGGGACCCAAGCATAGTCTTGTTCCTTGGTGGTCTCACAAACACCATGGAGCGAAAGCAGCACCAAGCACCTCAGCGAGTTTGTCAAGTTTGTCAAGGTGCGGAATCTGGAAAGTCAAAAAATAGGATGTTTAATGAACAATAATGGTCAATGATGATGGTTTATAATGGTTAATAATGGTTGAGAATGGGATTGTTCATGGTTAATGATGGTTAATGGTTGATACTGGTTGATGATGGGATATCTCAAGATTTCCAGCAATATCTGTGACTTGATGTGATGTCTTTAAGCTGCTTATTGAATACTCATCCAAATCTAAATGTGCGACAGATTTCCAGCAAAATATGTGATATCACCTAAATGTGTGTTTGAAGTTTGAACAAAATGATGGCATATATATTTTTTAATACAGTATTCAGAAATCTATTCTGTGACATATTCAATACACTTATATACACATTTAGATATGCGATTTCCATGTATTGAATATTCATCTAAATTTACAACAGATTACCTATCCATCAACCTGCCCTTCGCCTTGGTTTACCCAGCATGCTGCTATGACCAACCCCAACTATCGACCTTTGTGGATTGCTATGTGATGAACAGCGATACTTCCCCCAGTGGATTTTCCATTCATGCTCAACTACTACAATGAAAATTTACCATAAATATATATAAATATCAGTTTTGACTCTTACTAGCTATACTTGTTGTTGAAGCCTGGGTCTATTTCCATGTCTAAGCTTTTTGTTTCTCATGGACTAAGCTTTGACTTCATTATGAGTTCATCCACTCCCCTTCTCGCGGGGCAAAAAACGGGACTGAGTCCTCAAGGAGCTCCGAAACTGCCTACGGAAATCCATGGCGATTTACCATGGAAAAAATGTTGGGATGTTGGCGATTTACCAAAGGAAAAAGAGGTGGAATAATCTGAATATGTACAGGAAATTAACATGTTTTTGTGCATGGATTTGTTTTACCGGTTTCATGTCGATGTTTCCCGAATCGAAATTTGGTCTCAACTCCACCAGAGATGAGCATCCACGTGGTTTGCCGGCCGTTTTCGAACCGTGCGTGCTTCGTGTAAAATGTCCCAAGCAAACCCACAACGGAACCACGACGTTGAATCCCCTTAAATCGACTGCAACCAGCATCTGGAATCCTCATGATATTTCCATGTTACCAGTGGTTCACCCCAGTTGGGTCACAGTGAAATGACTGGACGAATCCTACCCGAACAAAACTGGGGTGACGGGGTGACCTAACCCACTTGGAAATGCACTTCACCTCAACCCAACCTACTTGAGCTACTGCGGCCTGTGGTTTAAAACTGGACATGCCCATTGATAGAATCGACCTCTCAAAAATGCTGAATCCACTTTTGTAGGGCCTTAAACCTCAACTTGTGGAGTTTCAAAGTCCGTCAGTCCATCCTTACATTCTTGAGGTTACAACCATTACGAAAAAACGAGAAGTGGCTTATAGTCATAGTTTCAACATACTTGTGGTGCTTGTTTATCTCCCCACTGAAGTTCAAAATCCATCCAAAATCCCATCGTTATTCTCGTATATATACATATATACATATACATATATATATATATGTATATATATACATATATATATATATTTATATATATATGTTCACGGAAAAAAAATCCCAGGAAGCTTCCAAAAGCAGCGCCTCAAAGACGGCGCTGGGCTCCATGGGCTCAGACTTCACCTCCCCACCCAAGACCAAGGTTTCGCCCGCCGGGTCCACGTCCACCTGGGCCGCAAGACCGGGGCACTTCGGAAAGGGGCAGAAAACAGATGGCAGATCTTTGATCCCCAGAAATGTCTAGGAAATGTGTTTTTCAATGTATAGAAATGTGTGTTTTCTAGAAAAATTATAGAAATATGTGGTTTTCCATGTGTTTTTCCCCCAGGTGCATCGAAGATTTTATCAGGGTTGCCTTCTTCCTTCCTTTCTTACTTCCTCTCCCGGCAGCTGGGATCGCAATTGCGAGTTTCAGATCGCAGCATCTGGCGCTCGCGGCTGAGGTCCGGCAGTGCCCGTGTCAGAAAGAATGTCAGAATAGATGCCAGATAGAACCAGATAGAATGTCAGAGTATATGCCAGAAAGAATGTTAGATAGAATGTCAGAATGTGTATATATATATATATATACATATATATATATTCTACTTCCAGATGGAATATCAGAAACTATGTCAGAATAGTGGGTCAGGGTGGGGATCACTCGAAGAAAGTAATTTCTTTGTCGGGTGGACTTGTGGAACATGTTGGGAGGTTGCTTGGAAATGTTGGCAAAACATGTGCAGTATAAGGTTGGGAAAATGTTGGGAAGTCTGTGACACTTGGAAAACAGGTTGGAGAACTAGGGGAGAAAAGGCAGAAAACTCTCAGAAAAACCCAGGTCTTCCCTTCAAAAACACGGCGGCAAAAACGGTACTGGACTAATACAGCAAGGGAGGACCTGCCAACTGGGTTTTGTTCACTGTTTTCAAAACTTGCGAGCCAATAATTTTCGGTGACCTGGGGTACCCCGCTTAAAACTTACCCAGCCCACTACTCATGATTCTTTCGTGTGTTTATCTCCCAACACGGTGGACATGTTAGCACCACAGACTTGTTCTGGATGATACCAGATCAAAACTTAGCTACGGTAGGGAATTTCTTCAAATTAGCTATCGTGGTTCCTTTTTGTTGGCCCTATCTGGGTTTCGTTACGAATTCAAAAAAACATCCAACTCTACAATGTTAGCAAGATGGCCAAACATATTGTCCTGCCACTGCTGAAACTGTGGAAGATACCTTGCAAACTCTGTTCTGCTCATTAGTTGGATGCGCATAGAGCTTCGGGGTTCCAGGGTTTTCATGTAGCTACAGAATCAAATTTGGGTCCACAAGCAATTTTTTTCATGAGTAGAAGAACACATACCCATCATACCCTCCGGTACAAAAAAACGTGGCAATTTTGAAAATTCCCCCCATTTATAGTGGGATTTTCCCATTGAAATCTCCATGGATAGTTGGGGATTTTTCCTTGCCATGGATTGCCAGTGCAGCACGTGGCGGTTTCCATGTAACCCAACGAGGCCAGCTTTGGGTTTGGCCATGGTACCCCCAAGTCCTTCTTCGGATTGTCATTGCATGTTCCTTCTGCAAAAAACAACGGCCATGTGAAGGTATTTTTTTGTATACCCATCGACAAACAAAGACGGTTTTTTTCAGAGCTTAACGATTGATGTGATTGGGTATGATGGGTATACTAAATGATTAATTACCCATCATAAATGATTAACGATTTATGATTGGTTGGTATGACGACATTTATCCGATTTATCCCCAGCTCATGGTGAATCTCTCCAGCGGAAAAAATTGAAAATGGACCTTCACAGCACGTGGCGGCGTCATGGCATCGGGTCCTGGGCAGCCAAAAATAGAAGTTCCCCGTGAACAAAAGTTTACATGTATAGATATGTTGCAAATCCGCCATATTCATTGGTTTGCAGAATGGGTTTTAATGGGAAATAGATGGAAATACTGCAGGAAAGCAGTACAAATCAATCCATTGAAAGAAGATGAAAGAAGTATAACTTACGACAATCATTCCTTGAAGTTTTGGTGACCTCTGGATGCTTTAAAAACTGGTGCTTTTAAAATGATCGCCTTGATAATCAGAAAAATCACTGGGGGTCCTCTGGTTTATCGTGGAATGTCCCGTGTGAGTTGCCATAACCTTTAAGGATGATACAGTACTGGCTTCTTCCAATGCCATGTATATAACACAAGTATGCTACCGGGGTAGAAACATTTCCCGGGCAGTGCAAACAGCCAAACACCCACTCAATACAATTCGCAAACTTGAAGACCAGGCAAAACCCGAGAGTCTAACCCCCACAGCAGCTGTCGAGTGGCGTATCCCATTTTTAGTTGGTATACTGGAGATTAGCACAGCCGCCGATGACATCATCAATTTTCCCAATGTGTCTTGCTTCAATCATTGAACTCCCACTAAGATTCTTGGTCAAAAAAATAAATCTTCCAAATTACATCCTGATCTGCCAATGATATCCCAATATCCATGGCCAATTTTCTGGTGCAAAAAGCAGGCAGTTCACATCCCACTGTTTCTTGGTTCACTAAAAAACATCGAATGTTTCATATGGAGCTGTCTGTAAACGGCTACCCAAAAAACGCTGGTTGATGCCATGGAAAATCCCAGTCACTTAACAAAAATTCGGATGATTTGGGGGTACCCCAATGACTTAGGACATCTCCATATTTGACCGGAAAACAGCCGTCTCCCGCGCCTAAGATTTCCCTGAGCTTGGCATCCACCGAAAGGTTGGCGTTGGCCCCACCCAGCATCCTCGAAAAAATTTCGATCGGCTTGGGGGGATGACAGGGGATGATATATATGTATATATATAATCTATGGATATCTATGGGATATGTATATATATACACACTGGTTGGTGGTTTGGAACATGACTGGATTATGGGATATATATATTATGTGTGATATTAAGGCAGTTGCCGTGTATGTAATACATTGTAATACTGTATACAGATATACATATATATATGTATCTACAGCGATGGTATTAGCTGAAATGATGCTTTGAACTGAAAAAATGGAGAATGCATTTAATTGAAATGATGGGTTTTACCGACTAAAATGGTGATTTCTATCAGATATCACTACGTCTGATATTCCCAGGGCCCAAGTCGTAACCTCACAAAAAAAAGAACAGACCCCGAATTCATGAACAGATCCTCCACATCAACCACCAGGCTTTCTGCTGTCTACCCCAGTTAGGTCACGTTCCCAAGAATGGATGGAGTAGATTCGCCCGAGCACAAACCGCGCTTGTTGGAGGTCACCGAACTGAAAGTGGTTAAATCCAAGCACAGTCACAAGTCCATTCTAATTCTGATATAATCCCATTAAAACCCCCATGAAAACACCCTTTAAAACCCCCTTAAACCCCCTTAAAAACCTATTAGAACCCCACAGAAACAGAGCCCATGGCTTAGTTCCAGTACTTCATGAGTTGTCTCCCGAGTTCCCCTGCATCTTGCTGAGCCCAGGCGTGGGATGTGGATGGATGTGGATGTGGAAAGTTTTCCCAACGATACCATGCTTGGAATATCTCCATTTTATCAACCTCTTCCAACCATACTTTGGAGCATAGGCTATAAATGTTGTGTATATATATATACATATACATATATATATATACATACATATATATATATATGTATATATATACATACACTATATAATGTATAGTATACATATGTATATCATAACATATATATATATACTAGAGAACTTGGCTATGGCGTGCTATCGCTCTGGGCTGTCTGGGCATGTCAAGGAAAAACAGCTGCAGAAAACAAAAAAAAACATCATAACGACAGTCACAGTCCATCCTGATCGCTGAAGTTTCTTGTCAGATCCACCGGAAGTGGAAAAGGATTCTTCAGGCAATCCTAAGGCTCATGAAGAGCATCCAAAGAGGAACAGTAAAAATCTTGACATCATATTCCAAGCACATTTCCGACTCAAGAGCCTCAAGTCTGCAAAAGAAACAGAATATCAAGCATGGCTGTACAGGCTACACATGTTGTTTTTGTGATTTGTTAATTATGACATTTCAATTATATCATCCGCACTCACGTCCATCAAAGTAGTACTTCAAAACAGGCAGGCACGCGATTGGCGTTCAACTTTTTGCACTTCTTATCGGAATCTCTCTGACTACTCAGCAGCGTCGCTCAACAGATTGCCACCTGCATCTGAAATACGCATGATTCGCATGGTGGTCTATCATCCTGTCTTTGTCTATGGTCCGCAGTGATGATGATGCATGAGTATTATACGTTACTAATATATACGGCGTATGTGTATCATTGTGTATCATTGTGTATCTATGTCATTATGTACTACCGTCCACTACCGTATTTGTTTTTAATACCACTGTCATTGCTGGCGGTTCTTCATCTGGGAATATATGTGTCACTGCTGCCATATCTTAGAGTGGTGTACCCGACAAAATAACGTGATGAGAAAAACTGCGTTCTTCGTCAAAATGGCTCCCCACCTCTGTTCACACCAATCATTCACCAGTTGATTTTCACCAAATGTATGGTTAAAAAAAAAAAACAAACAAACAAAAAAACATCTTATCATTATCAATGTTGATAATCATAATTATCATTATCACTCATGGATTATCTATGATTATCTATGTTGATTAACCACTATCAATCCATCGCAACGGTCGCAAGGCCTCGGGGACACGATCGGCTGCGGGGATCCAATCCTTGGTGGAACTGACAAAAAAGAAGCGACAAATGGATCGCCCAAAAAATCTGAACAGTGGGATATTGATATAACATATATATATATGTATATTATGATATATTGGGATAATCAACTTTTTGGAGAGTTTTATGGAATTCAAGTTTTAGCACGTTACAAAAAAACAACGTTTACCAACCTCAGAGAACATCCCAGCAGAACATCCGACGCTCTTTGTGCCGCTCCAGGTCGGAAAATCTGCGGTTCCGTTGGAACCACAGCAGTGCAACCTGGTACCCTCTGGTTATTTAACATAGCTATGGAAAATTGCCATTTATAGTGGATTTACCCATGAAAAATAGGGATTTTCCATAGCTATGTTAGTTTACCAGAGGGTAAATCATGTTCATTGCCATCACGAACGTGGTTCTTAGTCGTTCTTTGCCTGGAGGCCCGCAACTCTAGAGCTCCATCAAATTCAACCACGGCCATGACGGCAATGTAAGGGTCAGGCTGCCAAGTGCTGCCAATCGCTAAGCCGACAGCTCCCATTGAGGGAAGGCTGGGCTCTGGTTCTCCGGTTTGCTGCAGATTGTCGCCGCAGCTCACTTCAGCTTGCGGTATCCAGCACTCCAGGCGCCACGGTCCTGGACTACCCCGTGACGCGTAAAAAAAAAAACCAACTGAAGAGTCCGGCAAAAGCCCAGCCAATATCATCAATACTTTTACCCTCCAGTAAACTGAGATGGATATGGAAAGTCTGCGACTGGTGCTGCGGGGATTTTCCAGCCATGGACATGATGCCGGGCAAATCCGTCCCTATAGGACCTTGGGATCAGCGCTGGGGCAGAGAACACATTCATCTTGCGGCAAAAATTTCTCTCAAAAATATAAAGAACGCTGGAAATACTATAATCCCATCACCCTGTTCATATTAGTTACACCCCATTGTATGGTTCTTATATATATATATATGTATATATATATATACTGTATATATATACATATATATATATACCCTATATATATATATTCCCTATATATTATGTGGTTTCATCCCCTATTTAACATTCTGCAACAATGGTTTTGTGGCCCCGTTCAGCCTCCACGAAGCCGCAGTTCAGGACCAACTGCCCCAGCAGCAAACCGATGGCGGGACTCAGCCAGATGCAGATCAGCAAAGCGCAGCTCTTGCACTGCGTAAAGCAAGGTGTCAACACCACCCTGGCGGAAAGGATTGGATTTTAGGATCCAACTAAGATGACGACCCTGCCATGAATGGCTGGAATTGGAAGAGTGGAAACTCCACATTCGAAAGTTGCTAAATTTTCAGGGTCCAGTCTTAGCTTGGGGAGGGTATAATTTGTTGAGCCGTGGAAGTTACGAGATGTTATTTTCAATGCGTTCACCATCGAACTGGCACGAAAGCGGGGTCTTTTGGACATTTTGAGACACCCGGCATGTCATAGATCCAGAAATTGGTGGAAGGAAAATGTTATAGGGGTTGTCCCTTTGTTTGAAAGCAAAATCCAGCGTTTCCCATTTCCCGTTTCCAACCATACTTGGGAGCGCATCCCAGTTAGTAAGTGGTGGCTGTGTGCCCAAAGTATATCAGGTCATCTATTCAATACATGCATAATTATATACATATATATCTCATTATATCTCTCTCTCTCTCTCTCTACGTATATTGTGAACCTCCAAAGATTTGTGCCATCTGTCAGGTCGTCTTACCCTCAGGTGCCATTATGTTCCATTTCATTTTGTGCTGGTGACATCGGCTCACAGCGGAGGGCTGTGGATGCGGACATTGATCGGTGCTGTGCTGCGGTGGAAGCGAGGCGGCTTTCGCATTGGCAGAGAAAGAGAAATTTCAGGAGATCCAAGTGGACAAGGTCTTTTACCAGGTGAGGGCACCGGTACTTAGAAAAGGAAAACCAAGACGTCTGAGGCGAGATGTCGACTGAGGCTGGAGGTCAGCCAAGTGCAAGTAGTGGTGATGAGAAGACAAGCAACTTGTGGAGCTTGTTGCCTAGTTTTGATCCCAGCATGGACAATGCCAAAGAGTATGCGGACAAGGTGAGGTTCTTGTGGGGGATTTGTCCTCCCAAGGATCGGGGGATGTTGGCGCCAAGATTGACATTGTTGTGCAAAGGCACAGCCTGGAGTCAGGTCAAAGCGATCTCCTCAGAGAAATTGACCAACCCAGACCAAGGTTACAGGGCTTTGCTGAAGGCCTTAGAGACGTGGGAAAACTCAGAGGAACTGCAGACATATAAAAAATTTGAACGAGCTTTCTACCGGGTGGTCCAAAAGGGAGACGAGAGTGCTTTGAGTTTTGTCAATCGGATCGACGGGCTGGCTTTGTTCCTTTACGGTCTCCGTTTTCTTTACAGGGTGCCCTTGGAAACGTCCGCCACCCGACTCTATGCTCAGCCATGCAGCAGCATCAACCGAAAGACCAAGAAGTCGCACCACATCGAGACCTGCCAATGGACCCTGCCATGGACCCTGCCATGGACCCTGGATGACCCTGGATGACCCTGGATGACCCCGGATCCTTGGTAGAGGGACCAATTTTTGTAGATGACATCACCAAAAATTGGGGAAATAAAAATATCATTGCTTGACATTCGATTGGCCCACGTTTTCGCTATACATGCAAAGATCTGTGGGACATGCAGCGTTACCACCCCGGCCGTTGCCAAGGCGCATAGTATCGGGTCATCCAGCGCTTGTGCGACTTGATGTCTTTGCGCATCACAGCCAGCACGCCCTTGCCTGTCAGGCACAACAGCAACGGATGATCCCTGAACCCATGTTTTAACCTGGTAAAATGCTAAAACAGAAATGATGATGAGTTTATCATTTATCACAAGTTAACCAGCACGATCATAACCTCATCCCTGAGTTGTTGGTGCATGTCGATGGGATCACCATGTTTTGATGCTGGTAATCACATTGATATACATTGATGTTGGTAAATTTCCCACTGATTCCGTACCCCAATTCACCATGAACACCCGCCAGAAACCCTGATGAGGGAATGTCTTCAATCTAGCCAGTAGTAAATTTAACGCCAATTTCCGGGTGTGGGTTCCGCTTTGAGGGAGAGACCTGCCCAAGTGCATTCTGAGTGAATAAACAATGAGAAATCACCAGCGATTTTGATGTGATGATCTTGAAAGCAAGGATTGACCAGCAAAAATAGGAATATCATCCATAACAAGGATTGTTAAAAAAAACAGTGGTTTCTTGACTGGTACATAAGCCTTGTGAAATCCTCCAGTCACAGAATGTCACCCAGTTGCATCGGGGACCTTGATTGATGAACGTGATGAACCAATTTTCCTAACTTGTTACCAAGTGGGATAACCCCCCAGCATGGAGTTTCTCAAGCAAATAGCAGTTTTTTTGCGAATGGGTGGAGGCAAAATGACCAGCAAATGTTCCAGTTTGAACCAGCCGTAGGAAACGACGACCCAAATCACAAGAAGACTTGATGCTAATTTCAATGACTATAACTATAATTCTTGATGATATCCCAATTTCTGATGAAAAAATTAAAGGACCGGATAACCCCACAAGTCAACTTCTTCCCTTAATTAGAAACAACAGTTGAAGTTGGGACGTTTAAGGAAGGAGACAAAGGAGGTGGTGATGGAGGATCGATAAGAGTAAAAAAGTTGTATGTGGAAGAGTTGTGTGTGTGTGTGCGTTAGAAAGGTGTGATGCATGAGGGTGTGTGTGCAAGAGTTGTGTGAGGAAGTTGTGAAATGGTATGAGCGTGAACGAGTTGTGTGCAAGAAAGCTGCGTGTAAAAGAGCTGTGCGTGCAAGAGTTGCATCTCCCAAAGTTGTGTATGAGAAAGCCGGCCTCCCAAGCGACGCGGTGGGGAGCAGGGCGGGACGTTCGACAGTCGCAAGGACGTGAGCCGACCGGCCAGTGCTTCGGTGTGTGCCCAGCAAGGCGCATTAGCCCATAGCCCTTGAGAAACAAGCCTTGGCCCCAAACACACGAACCGTGTCACCCTCCACCTCCGGCCAACGAGGTGACAGGCGAGTACAGGAACACATGCACAGGGACGTAAGAGCAGCGGCCAACGGGGTGACAGACGAACATAGGTCGCTCTGCATGGCCCAGGAACACACACATCGCATAGCGACTAAAATTAAACGATGCAAGTGCTTCTTTCCACGCGTTGGGTCAAAGCTACGGCTGCTGCAGCAAGATCGGAGCGCACCATGTTACACATCAGCTAACAACCAGCCGCACACAGTCGAGGAATAGATGCACTGCCGCACTGCCCATCAGTGAAAACCAAGCTTGTCTTCCGTCCATGGAGAAGATGGAAAAGGTACCTGGGCGCAAAGAAAAGGCAGATCAGGTTCCACGTCACACTCGCATTGAAGTTTTCATGCGTGTTCTAATCGAAAACAATACAAATGGTCCAGTCTTCCGACTGTGGCATACCAGATGCAATGGGCGCACATTAACCCATGTTTTCGGAATGCTTTTGAAATAACAAAGGCGTTTTTGGGGCACCGGGCAACTCATGGGCCCCTGGCAATCACACACGGGAAGATTCGGACCCAAAGACAGGTGAAGGAAAACTACTGAAACGACAAGTTCATTGCTGGATGTGAAAATGTGAATGATAGTGGTGCCCAAAGATCCTTGACAGACATTCTCTGAAAAGGGTCTGTTAAAGCACCGGTTTTATTTGCGAAGCAGCGCGAAACATGACATGATTTCACGAAGCGGTTGCTACCACCCAAGTCTTTCCACGTTGGGTCAACAATGGGTCTAGCCATGTTTGACACGGCTGTGTGCTGCCAGTGGCCAAAAACACCAAAGATCTTCACACATTGCGTCAATCTTGTGCCTAGTTAGCAAGCACAAGTCGTGGCAAATGGCAAATGGTCCAAGAATAGATTCTTCACATTCCATTGTCGCCAAGTGCCACGCCTGCCACAAAGTGGATGTGAGCAAGTGCCACGCTTGCCACGCAAAGTGCCACGGCGCCCCGGGCGACTAACGGTGACTAACAGCGACCAAGCGCGCCACCAGAGCCAGCCCAGTGCCACAAGCGCCACGCCTGCCACACCAAACGCAGGTAGATGTCGCCAAGCGCCACGCCTGCCACGAAAAACGAAGGTGGATGAGAGCAAGCGCCACGCCTGCGAGCCACCAGAGCCAGCACAGTGCCACAAATGCCGCGCCTGCCACGCCAAACACAAGTAGATGTCGCCAAGTGCTACGCCTGCCGCGCAAAACGAAGGTCGATGTCACCAAGTGCCACAAAGTGTCGCCACGCCAGCGGCGACCAAGCGCGCCACCAGACCCAGCCCAGTGCCACAAGTGCGCAAAACGAAGGTGAATGTGAGCAAGCGCCACGCCTGCCACGCAAAGCCCCGGGCGACACAGCGACCAAGTGCGCCACCAGAGCCAGCCCAGTGCCACAAGTGCACCGCCTGCCACGCCAAACGCAGGTGGATGTCGCCAAGTGCCACGGCTGCCACGGAAAACGAAGGTGGATGTGAGCAAGCGCCACGCCTGCCACGCAAAAGCGCCGCGCCGCCCCGAGCGACTAACGGCGACCAAACGCGCCACCAGAGCCAGCCCAGTGCCACACGTGCCACGCCTGCCACGCCAAATGCAGGTAGATGTCGCCAAGCGCCACACCTGCCACACAAAACGAAAGTGGATGTGAGCAAGTGCCACGCCCGACGGCGCCCCAGGCGACTATAACGGCGACCAAGCGCGCCACCAGAGCCAGCTCAGTGCCACAAGCGCCACGCCTGCCGCGCCAAACGCAGGTAGATGTCGCCAAGTGCCACGGCTGCCACGCAAAAACGAAGGTGGATGTGAGCCAAGTGCCATGCCGACCAAGGGCGCCACCAGACCCAGACCAGTGCCAGAAGCGCCATGCCTGCCACGCCGAACGAAGGAGGATGTTGGCAAGTGCCACGCCTGCCACGCAAAGTGGTGCGGCGTCACGGGCGACCAACGGCGACCAAGCGCCACCAGACCCATCCCAGTGCCGCAAGTGCCACATGCCAGGCGAAACGAAGGTGGATGTCGGCAAGTGCCACGCCTGCCACGCTGGCCACGTGAAACGAAGGAGGATGTCGTCAAGTGCCATTGCCACAAGCGCCACGCCTGCCATGCAAAACGAAAGTTGATGTCGCCAAGCGCGGCGCCTGCCACACAAAGTGCAGGTGGATGTCGCCACATGTCACGCTTGCCACGCAAAGATGGTGTGTGTGTGTGTGTGACAAAGTTGTGTGTGACAAAGTCGTGCGCGACAAAGTTGTGTGTGTGTGTGACACAGTTGTGTGTGTGTGTGACAAAGATGTGCGCGACCAAGTTGTGAGTGACAAAAATGTGTGTGTGTGTGACAAAGTTGTGTGAAAGATGGTGTGTGACAAAGTTGTGTGTGACACAGTTCTGTGTGTCAAAGATGTGTGTGTGACAAAGTTGTGTGTGACACAGTTGTGTGTGTGTGTGACAAAGTTGTGTGTGACAAAGTTGTGTGTGACAAAGAGGTGTGTGTGACGAAGTGGTGCGTGACAAAGGTGTGTGTGTGTGTGTGAAAGATGGTGTGTGACAAAGTTGTGTGTGAAAGATGGTGTTTGAAAGATGGTGTTTGAAAGATGGTGTGTGACAAAGCTGTGTGTGACACACTGGTGTGTGACAAAGTTGTGCGCGACAAAGTTGTGCGTGTGTGTGACACAGTCGTGTGTGACAAAGATGTGGGTGACCAAGTTGTGGGTGACAAAGACGTGTCTGGCAAAGTTGCGTGTGAAAGATGGTGTGTGACAAAGTTGTGTGTGACACAGTCGTGTGTGACAAAGCTGTGTGTGACAAAGATGTGTGTGACAAAGTTGTGTGTGGCAAAGATGTGTGTGAAAGGTGGTGTGTGACAAAGCTGTGTGTGACAAAGTTGTGTGTGACAAAGATTGGTGTGACAAAGCTGTGTGTGACAAAAGTTGTGTGTGACAAAGTCGTGCGCGACACAAAGTTGTGTGTGTGTGACACAGTTGTGTGTGTGTGTGACAAAGATGTGCGCGACCAAATTGTGAGTGACAAAAATGTGTGTGCGTGTGTGTGTGTGACAAAGTTGTGTGAAAGATGGTGTGTGACAAAGTTGTGTGCGTGTGTGACTAAGTTGTGTGCGTGACAAAGGTGTGTGTGACCAAGTTGTGTGTGGAGGAGGTGGAGGAGGCGGAGTAGGAGGAGGAGGAGGCGACGAGGAGGAGGAGGAGGCGACGAGGAGGAGGGAGCGGGATACAGAATCAAAAGCAAGAACCCCACACAAAGATGTCTGGAAAAACGGTTCGTTCTTTAAATCCCCATCAAATAACTAGTCAACTAGGGTGTCCGAAACCGTTCATGCCAACTCACCCACCGAAGATTTTGCCCGAAGATCTAGTGCTATGAACTCACTTTTTTTTGTGATGTGGTTTGTCCAAGAGTGATGGATACCTCAAAGTTATCCAGCCTGACCCAAACTGGCATTGACCACAAAAATTCGGGGCGCTCTATTTTCAGACAAACCCATACTCTCAGGATAAAATGACATGACCAAGGAACTCAAGAGGAAGAAGTTGCTTCCGGCCATCCAGTACCAACCATAGACAGACCTTTGTGTCAACGAAACGAACAACGAACCAACGAGATGCTTGTCTAGTGTGTCTCAAATGTTTTTCTTAAAAACTGCCGAAAAATCCTTACTCCCAGCCCAAACTGTTCACATTCATCCACGTTCTGCCAATAATCAGGTTAAAAACTCCATCATGGCACCTGTTTCTGCCAACATTTTTCGAGAAGTCCCTTCTCCTCTTTTCCTTCGCCACTAGAAGCTGTTGCCCCCTGGCGATGTCTTGTGCTGTATAACCCTAATGACTGATTTGATACAACCATGCAGAAACCATACTTACCCCAGTTATAAAATGTTATAAACCCACTTAGCTATTTAGGGGCCCACCTTGCGCCATTCTTCGGAAATGCCCGCCCCATAAGCCAAAGGTGCCACATGCCCCCATACGCTTCACTCCTCGGAAAACGAAACTGTGTTTTATACTCCGGGAAACCTGGATCGCTGCTAGGGAACATGTGGAATTGCTGGGAACAATACCGAATATATTGTAAAATCCGGATGTTATTAATGGAAATGGGAAAATGGAAAATGCTTTTCCTTGTCACATTCCTTAAAAAAATATATATTTTTTCCTACCGAAATCTCTATTTGGATGTATCTGAGAACAAGGGATACCCGGATACCCCCAAACTATGATGATTTCAACGGGGAGATGATGATCTACCATCGGATTTTTGGGGTACCCCATTTTCAGAGAAACCAATTTGTTATATTGGACGCGTTTGGATGGGGAGAAACTGGAACATGAAAATGCATCTGTTTTCGTCAAAATCTCCATCTGGGCTCGCTTTCTATGCCAAGTTTCTTGCCATCCTCCGAACCTACCAACACGGCCATGGTAAGACCCACGGTACCGCATAGGGCGGAAACTTGGCCAAGGCGACGTTGCAACTTGCCGCGCGTAAGGAAGATGTGGAAAAAGGACCTGGGAGCCCGAACCCACAACCCAAGAATAATCCCTTCCCCCTAATATTAAAAAAAAAATACCTTGTTGGTGGATGTAGGGAATCAAACAGTGATGAAACCACATATTGAGGTTCGGTCTTTTCTCCAATTCCGTGCTAGACCTGAAGGTCATCTAGAACTAATGTTTTTCAGCCGCGATTTTATTTTCCATGTACACGTGACAGCGTCAAGAGGCATGGCGCGTCAAAAACCCGTCCAATCCAAGAGGCACGGATACTTGGAACGGCTTGTTTAAAGCTCGCCTGTCGATTTCTTCCAAGTGGCAAGTGCAGACAGGACGGCTTTTATTTGACTTCCTTCCACGGTCCCTCTTACGGCGTACTCATTGATTCTCCCGAAACCTACAGGGGGGTACGCAGGGAAGGCAAGTGTGCAAGGCCGTCTTCTAAATAAAGACGCCCCACGCCAAAACTCTTCCAGCGACCCCGCAACAATATTACTTCTAGGAATTTGCCTTGTAGTAGTACAAATGTCGCGCCTCCCCTCCTCACTGACTACGGTTTGTATCCAAAGTGATGCACTCTAACAAATTTCAAGCGGCTTTGAAACATCTCTCTCATTTTTTGTGCACTATGGCTCCAGAGTCTCTGCCCGGGGAAATGTCTTGGACAGGCCCACAATTCATCCAGTAATTGGGGTGTACATTTTGTCACGGGGGGGCACGGCTCCCTTAGTCCCAGTTTGTAGGCCAGATTTGCTAGCCGGTAAAGATACAACTCTTCTGATTCGATCAATTCCAGATCACAAAAACGAAGAGATAGAATTTCACAAGTAGGTAACAACGCATGAAAGCCCAGGCCCTTACTTAAAATCAAATTAAAGGACACACCAGACCATACCATCTTCCAAATGGAGCCACCTTGTCTTTTTACACACACGGTTACGAACGTTCCATAAAAGAAAATGAATAATCATTCTCATTGTTAACAGGTTAATTGTGAGACGGGTGAAGCCATTTGACTTTAAAGAGGTGTTTCCACTGCCACCACCATGCCCAGACAGAACAATGAGATTGGGGCTTCTTCCCAAGTACTGCATTCGTGTTGACTCTCACATCGGACAAAGTGTGACTAACACTCAGGCCGCAAGTTGACCAACCATCTGCTAAAAGGGATCACCTCCTTTTGGTGCGCCGAGGCTCCCGGGGCCAGACCCAACCGATGAAGTATCTGCGTAGGGCTCATTCTTGGGACCAGTTCTGAACACAAAACCGCCCCCGTAACAGCGAAAGACAAAATTGCGAAGGAGTCACCAATGAGGCTGCACCTAGCGTCTTCATATACTCTTCATAGCTTTTCTCTTTTCTTCTTGACGGAAGCAGACATGCAGCTTGTTGTAACGCTCCGAAGCCTAGAGGCAGTTCTGTTTTGTTTCCAATGAAGGCGCAGACGCAATCACTTTCGGTCCACAACTCAATTCCTTCATTTCATACAAGTCTTCAGAACACCAGGCCAGTCGCAGCCAAGAGACAAGTTGACAATCAGCAGGATCTAGTTGCCCGGCATAGCGTCCAAATGCGCTGAGATTTGGCGGCGGACCGACTCGTCCATCGAGGCAACGTTCTCTACGCAAAATTTCACCTTGGCCAAGGTCCCAGAAATCTCTTGCAGCCACTGCAACACCTCAAGCATTTTCTAAGAGGGATTGGATCGTTCGCCAGCAAGGTTCTCTCTAAAGGCACGAACCGAAGACAAGGCGAAGCCACCCCCGGAAGTGTGTTTTTCTGCGCAGGCGAAATCATTGGCCCAGCACAAGACATCATCTCTAGTAATCTTATTAATATCATCGTACTCATCTACCCCAGGCCAAGTGCATCTTGTCAGCCTATTTCCAGTTTTGATAACGTCGATGCTGATGCGCCCCATTGCCTGCACGCCTAGCACATCGTAAGTTCTGAAGCTGCCGCCAATCCCATTGAAACACGACACAACAATGAGACACGCAATAGGAGCAGCCTCATAACGCAGGCCATGATGAACACATAAGCATCCACAATTATTGCTTGCGGTTTCCCTCAAAACGAACTACCAACTCGGTCACCACAGGTGCATTCCTTTGCAGTGAGAATTCCGGCTTCAACCCCAGCCGACATAGCGTCCAGCTGCAGCTGCACCCTTCTGACCCTCTTTCCAGATTATTCACTTCACCTGCCATAAACTATCTATATACACCGGTCACCTGCCAACATACATACATACATACATTACATTACATTACACTACATTACATTACATAACCTAACCTAACCTAACCTAACATAACATTACATTACATTACATAACCTAACCTAACCTAACCTAACCTAACATACATTACATTACATTACATTACATTACATTACATTACATTACATTACATTACATTACATACATACATACATACATTTCACCCGCCGCACAAATTACCTGAGTGAACCAGCGGGGTTCCCTCGTATTTTCTGCTATTCCGCTGCTGGTGGTAAATCGCATCAGAAGGACTTGCCGGGAGACCTGCTACGTGATACCCGCGCTGCTGGCCCAACCCATGGGCAATACTTTGCACACGGGCCTTTCGACCAGGTTGTGATCCTTTCCAATTTCCTTGGCCGGAACACAAAAATTGAAGAACATAGTCACATAAATGGCTCCCATCCATCCGGCAGCTTAAATAAATAAGAAGCAGATTGCGTGTCAGCCTGTGACATGCAATCACATCTCCCGTTCCAACACAAACGGGAATCCAAGAAGTCGGAGAAGGGAGGCACAACTTATGTCGCCTTTGGTGACGGAAAAATGGCGTTAATGGGGATGAAGTTCATGATCATACGAAATACTGGCTCCCGAAGTACTGGCCCCCAAGTACTGGCTCACCAGCGGTTGTAAACCGCCCGGGCTTAACCACCGAACATCCCATTAAGGTAAGCGCCACGGTGATCTGAAAAAGCCGAACCATGGCACCCAATCTGCGATGCCCCTGTCACAAAATAATTTTAAGAACGCCCAGGGCTTCACCAGGCTTCATATGAACGCTAGCCTGACAGGGCGCGCCTGCACGGTCCTCTTCCGCCGAGTGACTCCAGCGGATTCTCCAATAGAAATCTTGTTCGCCCTGTGACGAAAGGGAGTAGTGGAACTGAAGCTCCATGACCTAATCGGCGGCAAACCTGACGATCGGTGAAAACCCAAAGGATGTGGCATTGAAATCTCTTCACCAGAAAAAACAACTCTCTTTTCTTTTGCCTCTTTCGCAGCGTCATGCTCAATCTGACATTTCCACATTTGCCCTCAGCTGCGTTATGCACTTTTCCTGTAAGTGCTCCGGCCACTGCATATCCCACTCCATAATAGGAGTTCAACTAGGCACTGCAAACTGCTAGCCATTTTTGCACGGCTAGTTCGCAAAAACCTGGGTGGCTCCGATCTAAAAACGACCAGCCGGTCCCTGAAGAAATTTCCGGGGGGATTACCACTGACAGGGGAAACAACCCACGCCTCCGGTTGTCCGGCTTCGTCGGTTGTGAAGTTCTAGCACGAGCTGGTTTCAATCGCACCAGCCCAACAAAAAGTCCCCGTGCCAGAAGTATCCCGACCTCCTGCAAAAGACTACAATGCTGAAAGCCGCTCTTCACGAAAGAACCGCACGGCTGCAAGCCTCCTTGTTGCTCAGTGTTGCCTTCTTCTCTGACTGAACTCTTGAAAAAGGCTGCTCCGCAGCCACCTCTACTGATGCCTGACCAGCACAGCCCGAGAGCAATCTTACAGCGTCCTCCTAGAGTCTTTCCCAGGCCTCGTTCAAAGGTCCCGGGTTCCAACTACCTGCTCTACGTCTCCTTTAAAATTGGCTTCGGCTACGCCTCCGGACAGTCTCCTGATCTCCTTTGTTCTCCCGCCGCTTTTCCTTTGCCTCTTCCTTTCCCTTTCTTGCCTTTGCTCTTCGGGTCTCTGCCTTTTCCTTTTCAGCGCGGCTCGATCGACAACTCGAACCAGCTGCCGAATGTAGCTCCCCTCTGCCAAGATCCTTTTCATTCATGCCTTTTCCACACATCTCTGATGGCATTGCCGACAGGAGAATGTCTGGCCTGTATACTTCCACATAACGGGCCATCGCCCATCCTTGTCGCGTGGCCGTCTCTATTGCCAGTAGACTCAGTAGACGACCCGACATTGTATCGGTCAGTTCTGCTAGATGTCCTTCCGTGAACAAGTCGAGACAGCGAGCTAATACTTAATAAACTTATCTCGCGACAGACTCTTGACTTCGGATCCAAGCTCGGCTTCAGCGCCAGCTGGAACATCTTTGACTTTCGTCCTTCTCAAGTGTCCGCCATGAACTCCTCTTCTAATGCACCGTCGTGAGAGAGCTGCTCCACCGCCGGGATTCTTCTGAAATCTGTTCTTCAAAGGCGGGACAAGGCTGTCCGAAGAACTTTCCTCGCTCTCGGATTTGCTTCTGCCCGACCCCGAGCTGTCGCTGCTCCTTCTCCGCCTCCTCCGAGCTGCGCCTGCTTTTCCTTGTGCCCGACTCCGATTCCACGGGACCAGTATGTCTCCTGATTGCCATCTCCTCCATTTCGATGTCGTTTCCCCAGCTCTTCCCCAGCAAAAGCAACACGTATCCCTGCTCACTGCTCGATCCTTCATCAATGCATCCTATCTTTTCTCCACCAGGGTATTGCCATCGCCCGGAGGTGGTTCGTCTGGCGCAACGACCGCACCGACCAACGCCTTCCGCTATAGCCTTTCGTGCCACTCTGCTGATCCACTTCGCATTGCGACCAGCTGGATAGCAATGGAACTTGTCGATATGGCATCCATGTTCGCCTGCCATGGGGCAATTGATCATTTCTCCATAGCACAGGTGCATCTTCACTTTTCCCGGTTTTCTGGAAATCTTTGTCTTTGCAGCCCAGGCATTTCACCTTGAGCCACACCCCGTCCTTTGTTGATTCCGCCTCCTTCAGCACCAAAAGAGCACAGCTTGCCTGTGCAGATTCTTCAATGAACCCAGCAGAGAAAGACCGATCCCACCGGCATGTGACGATACCTCCAGAATTCGACCAGAGTCAATCGTAGGTCCAAGCTGTAGTGGGCTTTAGTTGCTTCCTGCTCCCTCAAACTTTTTCTGGCCTCTTCGACGGAAGGTGCCTCTGCATCTTCACCTTCCATAGAATCCCCCCAAAGGGCTTCTCCTATTGTCCTCCTTTTCTTCTTTTGGCTCCTTGCCCTCCTAGGAAGTCTTGCTGGTTCTGGTGGCCTTGCGTGGGGTCTCTTTTTCTTTGCCTCCACTTGCTCTGGAGCCCGGTTGGTGCCTTCCTTCGCTATAACCTGGACAGCTCTCTGGGCTCTGGACGGTTCAGTAGCTGGCACGGGGTTGCTAGGCGTGAAGCTCGACGTGAGCCCGTGCCTGCACCAGAGCACCGAAGATCCACGAGGCAGAGATCAAGCCGGGGGCGCAGCGGACGGTCGTGCTCTATCCCAAGGTTCGGCCTCGACCACCTCCAGCCGCAGAGGAAGAAGCAGATAACCGAAGAGATGGAAGAAGGAGAGGCAGCAAAACCCTTAGAACACCCGGCCTCCGCCAGGGTTGTTTGAGAAGGGTCTGCGCGAGTTCAAGCGCTGAACACCCTACGCACCAAGAATCTCCTTCCTCAGAAGCTTCACCGACCTTGCACTTATTACACTTGGGGGCCATACCCCAGCTTTGAGCCCAAGAGCCTGAATGTCACAAAATGCACAAAATGATCTCACCCTAAATGTCGGGGCGACTACCATGGAACCATATTGAGGGGGTGTTGAATATTCGGGGGATTGGATTACTGGGAATATGGTTGTGGCCCACTTTGTAACTATCTAATTGAATGATTTCGGCTGTATCCCGGTCAATCATAGTTCTTCATAGGAAAGTAATCCGTGAATGTGGATATCACATAGAATATATAATAATATTTGACCGAGTAGAAACAATACATACACCATGTATCTGCGTGATGCTTAGCAATCGGTCCGCTGATATTGTGGAGGTCAGTAGTTTGGGAAATGTGGTTTTTGGGTGTCTATTTTGATGGTAGTTAATGAGCCAAGAAAGCCTAGCAAACCTGGACAGACAGATAGACAGACTGATGTTTTTCTTTCCAAGAGCGCTGAGCCACATCACTGTGCCAAACCTTCATATGACTCATATGTTTGCGTCCACGCCATTCCGTCATATTCGGAAATTGTATCTGAAAACCATTCAATTCAACACGGCAAAATCAAATGACAACTGGCATTTCCACGATCCTAGATGCACCTTGATCTCCTACCCTCCAGTAATGTAAGCTCAGATGTCCCATTTCCTTCGATGCTTTACGTCTACCCAATTCAAGCAACAACTGGGTGACTTCGTTCAATGATGTACCCATGAAAAACTGTTTTTTTCCAGCAACTGGGTCAACTGGGTACCACCTGCCACGCCGAGATGCAGCACAAAGCCTACAGTCTGAAAGATGATGTGCACATGCAGGCATAGCCTCAGACAAGGAAGCATGGGAAGCACGTCTCTCCAGCAACTGGGAAATCAGAGATGGACAAGCGGCAGACAAGCGAGAGACAAGTGTAACAGAAGCGGGCTACAAGTAGGAGAGCAGACAAGTGGGAGACAACTCGGAGACACGCGGGAGATAAGAGGAAGACAACTCTGAGACAATTGGGAAACAAAGCGAAACAACCGGAACACAGCTAAATGGAAGACAAGTGGGAGACAGTGAGAAACAAAGTGGGAGACAGGCAGCAGACAAGTTGCAAGTGGGAATCAACTCAGAGTCGGAGAGAAGGAGTGACCAGGGAAAAGAGGGAGAGGTGGGAGACATCTCTGGGCTCAAGGCCCGGCTCAAGGTTTCCGGCATTCCAGTTCCATTCCGCTTGTGCCGGAAGGCACGGCACGCCACTGACACAGAGATTGAACCCCAGGCACTGGGAATTCTCGTCCCACCTACATGGTACCACTCCTACCCTGCCGGAAACCATCAATCTCAAGATCCCCACCAACAAGTGGCTTGGAGACTTCGCTCTCCGTGAAGTGACGGTAGAAATCAGCAGCCCAGCCAGGATGGTATGTGTACCTGGGAGTTTTGGCTCGGGCTGATTGCCCGAGTGTGAAAACACCTCGCCAAGACGAGGAGGCTATAACAGCAGTCAGAGTTGAACTTTTCAAAATATCCGATCCTTGAACCAATTCCAGCAGTATTGAAAGTTACTCGAGCCGAACCTGGATTATTTCATTGGAAACTTTGTAGTGATACGTTTTCAGAGAATGCAAACAGGCATTAGCTGCCCTGGCACAAACATCTATCGGCTCTATCGGGTTGTTTTGACGCAGTTCAACTGGTTAACCTGCTTCTGTCAAAAGCCATAAACGCGAGATGCGTGACTTGTGTGACCAATAAGTTTGCGGTTGCCCATCCAGGGTTCTAGTGTCATTTAACTGCGTTTTCTCGGGATTTGTTACATGCGGATGCGGAGAACCCGTCGCGGTTCGATGGTGTTAGGTGGGGAGATCGGACCAGCTCACACCTCCGCCTGATTATGGAGATGATCCAGTACATAGTGATCTTGAAACACTTGATTATATATGTTCCTCTTTTTTAGAAATGGTTCTTGTATTAGGAGCCTACCCAAAATCCATTTCTGGAGCATCGTTTCCCCCTTCAACTTTGCAATTTGATATACAGAGTTTCAGTGGTAGAACGGGCACTAAGTAGATTCAGAGCAAGAAATTTATGTATGGCCCATTCAAGATGATAAACCCAAAATTGCCCATTTTACGGCCCTCCTTCATACCAAATCTTTCTCAGCTGCATCTGAAGCAAGCTCTTTTCCGGCATGCGAGATAGCGTTGGTACCTGTTCACAATTGGTTTGGTCGCTAATGAAGAGGTAGTTCACCATGTCCGCCAAGTTTGTGATCCAAGCAATGCCTGGTGACGATGCGAACAAAACCTGGCAGGTTTTCTTACCTGCTAACATCGAAGATGCCTGGGAAAATCCTGATATTTTCACGGGGAAATACCCGGAAATCGTCAACAAACGATTGCGTGAATCATGAAGAGAGGACACCTGACCCAAAACTGAGAACAGCAGGGAATGATCATCATTTCAATGGTTCCAATAATAGGGTATCCGAAAATTCCTACGGTTCATCATCATTCCCTTTTTAAAAGTGCCATGTTTTCCTATGTTTACATTTTTATGACAATTCAATGGGTATACGATTTTGGACAAACCCATGTTTTCCTGCAACCAATCTGTGTCAATCAGGTGTATTTCCAGTATTTAGTCAAACTCGTTGGGACTATCTTCAAAGATCAACCGGGATATATGCTCAGTATTATGTCACAAATTTGACTTTGAATTCCCATGCATGCACATTAACTTTGTACCTGTTTTCCCTACTGCAAGGGATTGTGTTTTTTCGGGCTACCCTGGACCCTCCGGCCCACCATCCCCACCATCCCCACCTACGCTCATACCAAAGACAAGATAACGCAAGTTCATGGCCGCCACCATCCCCAACAGCAATTTTTGCATCTTGATGTACTGGCCTCGGACTTCCGCCACTGAAAAATATTGAAAACATGCCTACATCAAAATAAATACCACTACTATATATTAAATACAATATCTATGCAAGTATCTACATATATACTTGAATACATTCATATATTCATATGCATACACAAAAATACAGCTACAAATGCCAGTATGTACATATTTACACATTTACATACGTGTAAAAATAAACATGTATATATATATACATACACACATAAAAATGGATGTATATGTGCATATTTATGAACATGTGTATATATATATATTATACTTACGTACACACAAAAATACATATATATATATGTACATATAATATACATATATATGCATGTATATATAATGTGTGCATTTACATATACAAACGTATGTGCACATATATGCTTATATATGCACATATATGAACATAAAAACATATACATATTCATTTACACATACATATGTCCGTATGCATATACACATACATATACATATACACTTACACATACACATACATATACATATAGATACACACATATTATGTAAACACACAAATACTTATACATGAACAATCCTATCTGTAAATACATGTGTAAACTTATATACACACATGTACGCATAAACACAAATATAGTTTTACCATCTTTACAAAAATACATGCATATACTGATACATATTTGTATAAATTGACGAAAATATAAAAAGCTTTGAAATACACATGAATATGTAATGTATGCATATATATATATACTATTATATACTCTTCCTTTTAAACAGATTTACGAAGACTCTCATTTGAATGCATAACTTTAATAAATATACTTAAATTTCTCTATATTGATGTGTTGATACATATATGTACATTTTTACGTTGAAATAATAATCATTTTATGTATACAGTGATACACACTTGCTCAGAACTGTCATTCCGAATTGTGTTGTGGAGCGCATCTTACCTGCAAAAGCACTTCCATTACACCTGACAGGAATGGGTCGGTGAAGGGACCTGAAAAACATTGAGAAGCTACCATCGCCATAGACAGAAAGTTGCGCCAACTCGCACCAGGAAATCCAATTGGTTGACGCAAATTTATTGAAATTCGACTGGCCGGTTTGTGGCTTGGCCGGATGCCATTTTCAAAAACAAAGAACGAAAATGAAGTGAAATGGAAACAGACCCTGAACAACAGGTGATCACAACTGTGCAGGTACGTCACTGGACGACTCCAGTGATATTCTCAGGACACTGCAAAGAGCTTTGTTAAGTGGAGCTCTGCAGGCCTGCTCCACTCCCCTGTAAATCAATCACATCGTTAGAAGTTTTACATCTCTTCAGATTGTTCACACACACCCACAGATGTATATATATATATATGTGTGTATATATATATTTAAATTTATATATGCTAGGGGCAGGAGGTTGGCCGAGACCGGCGGGCTCCACACTGTATGTTTATCCGAAGAAACATTGATTTAATTGCTGTGATCAAATAACGATTTTGGAACTTTCCTATAGTGGTCAAGTGCGAATCGCTACAGAACAACTTTGTTTGATCCGCAGCAGTTCAAGATGTGAACATGATACAACGCGTCCTGGCAATTTGTGATAATGGTTTCCCCACTAGAATTACGAACATCAGATGTACACAAGCTGTTAAAACATGCTGTTTCTGCAGGGCATTTTTCTTCCAATTCATTTTTCATTAGTATTTCCGTCATGTTTTTAGCACGTGTCTTTTCTGTACAAGTCAGCTGAGTCAGCAGCCGGAAACAAGCTACTGGGCGGACATTACACTAACCAAGCCAGGCTGTGTTCGCTATCATCTACGACCTTATCCAAGCCGTGGCGTTTCAAATTATGACTCTGTCACGCTCGCCAAAGTTTCTGAAATACTATCACCACCAACCATCAAATATGAATTGCGCGTTTCTTTGCTAAGCCGTCACTGTGTAAGGCATGATGCTAAGGAGAGAACGCTCTCCGGGCAATGGTAAATTTACCACTTTACCGTTTTACTTTGGTTTCCTTCGCTTCCACACCTCCTTTACGGTTTTACGCTTTTACGGTTTTACTACCTTTTCCTGCCCACGCTTTGCCCACAGAACATGAATTTACCAATTTGCGGCTTGATTTCGGTTTCATGCGGTAAATTCGGTAAATCGGTAAACTGGTAAATTTCACCGCTCTTCAGGCCATGGTAAATTGGGTAAATCAATAAAGTGGTAAATTTTGCTGTGTCCGGGCAAAGGTAAATTCGGTAAATCGGTAAATCTGTAAATTGTTAATCTAATTTTACCAATTTAGCAAATTTGCCAATTTACGGTTTTACGGTAAATTTTGTGTACGGAAAAGTTTGCAAATTTGCCAAATTTACGGTTTTACGCTCCGAGAGCGGCACGCTCAGATCGTGAATTTACGAATTTACGTTTTACGGGGCGTTTCTCGGGAACAATGGAATTTACCATTTTACGGTTTTACCGTTTTACGGCGCGCCTTGGCAAAAGACGTGCCTTAGACCCGCGCCTTACACAGAGACACCACAGTTTCTTTGCAACAGCCTTGTTTGGAAAGACCAAGCATCATGTGCACAAAATGCCGTGACTTGATCGACCCGCAAGGGTTTAGAACGTTATTACACCCCACCACACCCATAGGGTGTGTATGTATATATATATATGCATTTATGTATATATTTAATTTATTGATTTATTCATTTATTTTGTCCAGTACACATACATTTATATAGACACATGTTTATTGCTACATGTTCACCATGTAAATATACATATGACAAAATTATGTATTATTGGCAAAAAAACACATATGTATATATATATATATACACACACACTTACCAATTGATGTATACATGTGTGTGCATGAATACATTTACAGCGTGTATACTGTGTACACAAACACCCTGCTGCTAATTCTGGTTTCGCTCCCATGATTGACTGATGGCTCCGTATGGTCCATATATGTTCATATCAACATCGTCGGGATTGGTGATGTCGCCACTCTTGTTGGTGTTCGTTGGATTATCTGGTGCATGGCATCAAAGCCATTGCTACAGTAGATGGTGTTTGAATTCAATTGGTTGCCCAGAAGGTGATGGTTGGCCTCAAACAGCTTGCGTTTCAGTAAAACAAGAGCACAACATCAATGCTGTGCCCAAATCTGACCCACTGAGACCACCGTTTCATCGGGGCTATCCCAATTTCTCACGAAACCTGTTCCACGAGTTTGTTTTCTTGGCAGTTCCCATGGCTAATAAGTCAAGCCTGGTATTACACTCTCTTTAGTAACCCACCCACGATACGTTACGTTTTCCGTCCCTGCTTTAATGAATGGTAAACGGTTAAATCAACCGCGGAAACCGCCCCCAATCAACCGGGCAAAGCCATTGGTCCCCACTCCACGCCTCGGACCAAGAGCACGGCAGCCACCACCAATCCCAAATAGACTGCGACCTGGATGCTGTCTCAGTTTGCAACCAACGGAAACCCAAGAAATAGTTGATGCTGCTGAAGTTGTTGCTGCTGAAGTTGTTGATGTTGTTGATCCTTGTGGGCCCCATTTTTTGCTGCCCAAAAATGGTATGCAAAAAAAATATCCAAATCAACTCAAACAGCCCGTTGATCATTGGTTGAACATGAACCTCTGATGCAGCGGGATATCTGCCTAATACAGGTCTACTTCGTTTTGCTTTGTTCGCCCAGGTGCCAAAGACGCAAAGGGCAAAGGCTCAGAGATCGTGGACGCCTCGAAGTGCCTCTTGCAGTACTCCATCACTGCCTGGGCAAATCCGATCCCACACATTTAGATTCTGAAAATTTAGATAGCCAGATGTATTTATAATATATATATATATATATACATTTGAATGTATATATGTATGTTATTTATAAATATATATATATATAGTGTTACATTATAAATATATATATATATTGGAATATACTATATATATAATAGATATATATATATATAATATATATATATATACATATATATATATTGGAATAAACTATATATATATAATATTGATACATCATATATATATATATGTATGTATACATATATCATATATATAATATTGTTTATGTATAATATATTATTCATATATAAATATACACACGTGTGTGTGTGTGTGTGTGTACATACTATTACGCATATGTATATGCATGTGTAAAGAGAAATTTAGGTCCCAACTTTGCAGGCTGACGGGCCGAGCTCATGTCTCTAAATCTGCAAAGCCATTGCGACCGAAACATTGATCCGAGAGGAGACAACAGGCAGATGTAGATAGGCATCATTAGAAAGATATCATTAGATAGATATTACTAGATATCATTAGATAGGTGCTATTGGATAGATATCGTTAGATAGACATCGTTAGAAGTTAGAAGGGTATCATTAGATAGATATTTACTAGATAGGTAATGTTAGAAAGGTGTCATTAAAAATATTTCATTAGATAGATATCATAGATAGAAATCATTAGGTAGATGTCGTTAGATAGAAATCATTAGATAGATAGATACCATTACAAACAAATAGATAGAATTAGATAGGTTCAAGAATTAGATAGACAGAATGAAATAGACGGACAGACAGACAGACAGATAGATAGGTGGAAAGATAGGTGGATAGATTTAGACAGGTTTAGATAGATTTAGATAGAGAGATAGAAAGATAGAAAGATAGACAGCCAGACAGACAGACAGACAAGAAAGATAGATAAGAAAGATAGAAAAGAAAGATTGATAAGAAAGATAGATGATAAGAAAGATAGATCGGTAGACAGATCGGTAGATAGGTAGATAAATAGGTAGATAAACAGGTAGATAGATGTGTGTGTGCGTGTGTCTGTTGAATTTGGTGATGGAAAATGACAGATGCAGAAAAATGTTGGAATCACCTCTCCTCTCCATGAAGAGGTTCAAGGTTGCGTGAAATTTCGCTCAAAGCAAAAACGTCTCTAGAACCTACCGCGGTTCGTGGCTTTTGGTCTCTGCAAAAGCATTATCACAGAAATACCTCTGCTTGCTTTCACCGCATGATGGTTCATCCATCTGGAATGGAACGAACTCAAAGGTGAGAAGTCTTAAACTAAATCTTTTGCCGCCATCCATCAATCTCCAACATCATGGGGAATCAAAATGTCTCAGCTGAGCAATGCCCAAAACCTTGATGTTCTTACTTGTTGATAATGATTCCCATACTCCACGATAATGCTGGGATCTAACCAGCTTCAGCATCTGTCAACCGGGCAGTGCTCAGCTGCCGTCAACCAAATCGTGACGTGACGCCTGGCCTGTTTCAGGAAGTCTCTGACTGCTTCAACGCAATGCTGAACGCTGTTTTGGGCTGATTCTTGCGGAGGAGATGAATGACAAGTGGATGTGGATGTCATTTTCAGACACCTTCTGTCAATCAAAAACAGCACTGGGATTCCCTTCCATAGCTGATAGCCAGACAGTCATCGATTTCAAGTTGCCTTCCGGTCAGTTTTTCACAGCCGCTGGAGTTTCCCAGCCTTCGTTGCTTTTTTGGGTGAAAAAAACTTGTGGTGTTCCACCAATCAACGGATGTTGGGACAAATTCACATAAAAACCAGGGGGGTTAGTGGCTAAACATAACAAAGACCATTCTGGGAACCAGCTTCTTGATGCGTCCTCCCACAAAAACCCCGGCCCGGGACGGAAAGTTCATGGCAGGTCATGATAGACATCACCCCAGTCATAGGAATATCATATCCATCCAATGATAAACCTAAATTGGGCATGGTTTACGAATTATGTGGTTCCCCCACGGAGTCCACCTGGTTGCGCAAGTACGTGGGCAACACGTGCTTGCAGGAGATCTTCACATCATTGGTTTACGTCCTGTCGCAACCAAAATCAACGGGAACAAACTCTGCTTGGCTTGAAGTAAAGCCACGAACACATGCTGAGAGGTGATTTGCTTTCAACAGCAATCTGAAATTGTGCATCAGTGACCAGTCGACGGGTGTCCACAAATTAAAACAGGCTCCTGGGTGGAATTCCGATGGATTTTCACGACTTTCGGGTCGCATAATGAGTAATGAGACATGTTGTGTGCATGATGTTTCAGTAAACCTGACATGACTGCATGCCCTCCACCTACAGCAGATCACGCAATGGACGCGGCAGGACCATGGTCTGAGTATGAATGTTACACATCCTTACATATCCATACACACATCCATAAAGTTAAAGAATGCAGTAGCTGTTAATAACCATATGTGTAATTCCAATAAATGAAAATTTCCCATGATTTTGACGCACAATTTGACAAAACGAGACGGAGTGCTCGACTGTGGATTGTGGATTTTTCCCACCCAATTTCCCGGACATGGCAGACTTTTGCTCATTGTGGGAATCCCAATTTTCTATAATCTCTGAACTATACATGTGTACGTGTATGTGTAAATATATATATATATACAGTACTAAAAAAATATGTGTATAATATATATATATATTATATATATATTATTTGAAAAATGGTTTACATTGAAATGTTGTATGTAAGTAATATTACATTCCTATTGTTACGCGTAGTATTACATTCCTATTGTTTTATGTCTAAAAAAAATCTATATATATATATATATATATGCTTCTTGAAAAATATGATGCCATATAGTGCATATTGTCTCCTTCTATAAATCACAGGAAGCCTCGAAGTCTATACTTCCGCGCTGCGGATCCCACAGCAAACAGATCTCACAGCAAAGAGATCTCACAGCGAAGAAGTCTCACAACAAAGAGATCCCACAGCAGAGAAGTCTCACAGCAGAGAGTTATCACAGCAAAGAGATCTCACAGCAGAGAAGTCTCACAGCAGACAGTTATCACAGCAAAGAGATCTCACAGTAGAGAAGTCTCACCAGCAGAGAGATATCACAGCAAGGAAATCTCACAGCAGAGAAGTCTCACAGCAGAGAGATATCACAGCAATCAGATCTCACAGCAGAGAAGTCTCACAGCACAGAGATTTCACAGCAAAGAGATCTCACAGCAGAGAAGTCTCACAGCAGAGAGATATCACAGCAATCAGATCTCACAGCAGAGATCTCACAGCAGAGAGATATCACAGAAAAGAGATCTCACAGCAGAGAAGTCTCACAGCAGAGAGATATCACCGCAAAGAGATCTCAAAGCAGAGAAGTCTCATAGCAGAGAGATATCACTGCAAAGAGATCTCACAGCAGAGAAGTCTCACAGCAGAGAAATATCACAGCAAAGAGATCTCACAGCAAAGAGCTCGCACAGCGAAGAAATCTCAAAGCAAAGACATGGCACGGGCAAAGAGATCTGACAGCAAAGAGATCTCACAGCAAAGAAGTCGCACATCAAAGAGACCTCCCAGCAAAGAGATCTCACAGCAAAGAGATCTCACAGCAAAAGAAGTCTCACAGCAAAGAGATCTCACAGCAAATAGATCTCACTCACAGAAAAGAAGTCGCATAGCACAGAGATGCAGCAAAGAGATCTCACAGCAAAGAGATTTCACAGCAAAGACATCTCACAACAAAGAGAGATCTCACAGAAAAGAACTCGCACAGCAGGAGATCTCACAGCAAAGAGATCTCACAGCAAAGGGATCTCACAGCAAAGACGTCTCACAGCAGAGAGTTATCACAGCAAAGAGATCTCACAGCAGAGAAGTCTCACAGCAGAGAGATATCACAGCAAAGAGATATCACAGCAGAGAAGTCTCACAGCAAAGAGATCTCACAGCGAAGAAGTCTCACAGAAAAGGGATCTCACAGCAGAGAAGTCTCACAGCAGAGAGATCTCACAGCAAAGAGATCTCACAGCAAAGATATTTCACGGCAGAGAAGTCGCACGGCAAAGAGACCTCACAGCAAAGAGACCTCACAGCAAAAAGATCTCACAGCAAAGAGATCACACAGCAAAAAAGTCTCACGGCAAAGAGATCTCACAGCGAAGAAGTCTCACAGAAAAGGGATCTGACAGCAAAGAAGTCTCACAGCAGAGAGATATCACCGCAAAGAGATCTCACAGCAAAGAGATTTCACAGCAAAGAGCTCGCACAGCGAAGAAGTCTCAAAGCAAAGAGATTTCACAGCAAAGACAGCGACGAAATCTCAAAGCAAAGATATTTCACGGCAAAGAGTCGCACAGCAAAGAGACCTCACAGCAAAGAGATCTCACAGCAAAGGGGTCTCACAGCAAAAGAAGTCTCACAGCAAAGAGATCTCACAGCCAAGAGCTCGCACAGCGAAGAAGTCTCAAAGCAAAGAGATTTCACGGCAAAGAGCAGAGAGATCTCACAGCAAAGAAGTCTCACAGCAAAGAGATCTTATAGCAAAAAAGTCTCACAGCAAAGAGATCTCGCAGCGAAGAAGTCTCACAGAAAAGGGATCTCACAGCAGAGAAGTCTCACAGCAGAGAGATCTCACAGCGAAGAGATCTCACAGCGAAGAAGTCTCAAAGCAAAGATATTTCACGGCAGAGAAGTCGCACAGCAAAGAGATCTCACAGCAACAAGATCTGACAGCAAAGAGATCTCACAGCAAAGAGATCTTACAGCAAAAATGTTTCACAGCAAGGAAATCTCCCACGAAAGCTCCGTTTTCACATCTTCATCTGTCAGTTTTTGAGGCATGTCTTGCGCGAAGCTTCATTTTCACATCTTGGACTTTCACTTTTCGAGGGCTGTCTCGCACGAAAGCTTCATTTTCACATCTTTAACTTTCAGTTTTTGACATCTTTGCACAAAAGCTTCGTTTTCACAACTTCAACTTTCAGTTTTTGAACGATGTCTCGCACGAAAGCTTCGTTTTGACATATTCAACTTTCACTGTTTGAGGTATGTCTCGCACGAAAGATTGGCTTTCACATCTTCAACTTTTTTTGAAGGATGTCTCGCACGAGAGCTTCGTTTTAACTTTCAGTTTTTGAAGGACGTCTTGCGCGAAAGCGTCGTTTTCACATCTTCAACTTTCAGTTTCTGAGCGATCTCTCACACAAAAGCTTCGTTTTCACATCTTCAACTTTCAGTCTTTGAGGGATGCCTCGCCCGAAAGCATCATTTTACATCTTCAACTCTCAGTTTTGTAGGGATGTCTCACAACTTTCACTTTTTGAGGGAAGTCCCGCACAAAAGCTTTGTTTTCACATCTTCAACTTGCAGTTTTTGAAGGACGACATGCGCTTTTCAAAGTTAGTGGATGGACGAAATTCTGGGTTTTGCAGTACAAAGCGTGCCTCGGAGAATGGATGGGGAAGCTCCGCCGTGCGATGTTGCGAAACGTTCAGCTAAAACCGGACCATTCTCACTTTTCAAGGCTGTCTCGCACGAAAGCTTGGCTTTCACATCTTCAACTTTCACTTTTGGAGGGATGGCTCGTCCGAAAGCATGGTTTTCACATCTTCAACTTTCAGTTTTTGAGGGATCTCTGACGCAAAAGCTTCATTTTCGCATCTTCAACTTTCAGTTTTTAAGGGATGCCTCGCAGGAAAGCATCATTTCACCTTCAACTTTCACTTTTTGAGGAATGTCTCTCACGAAAGCTTGGTTTTCACATCTTCAGCTTTCACTTTTCGAAGGATGTCTCACACGAAAGCTTCGTTTTCACATCTTCAGCTTTCAGTTTTTGAAGGACGTCTCGCGCGAAAGCTCGGTTTTCACATCTTCAACTTTCACTTTTTGAGGGATGTCTCGCACGAAAGCTTCGTTTCACATCTTGAACTGTCAGTTTTTGAAGGACGTCTTGCGCGAAAGCGTTGTTTTCACATCTTCAAATATCAGTTTTTGAAGGATGTCTCGCACGAAAGCTTCTTTCTCACAACTTCAACTTTCAGATTTTGAGGGAAGTCCCGCATGAAAGCTTTGTTTTTACATCTTCAACTTGGAGATATTGAAGGGGGTCTCGCCTGGGGGCTTCGTTTTCTCAATTTCAACTTCCAGTTTTCGAGGGAAGTTTTGCATGACAGCGTGGCTTTCACAAGTTGAAGTTGGAGGGTTGCGGCAATGTGTTTCGCTGATTTTCTCGTTTTTGGCGGCTTTCGTTTTCTTTTTAAGTTCCTTTCAAAAAGGCTTCAAAATCTTACATTTTTCAGCTTTGGCACCGAGATCCGGTTTTGGAGCCGGTTTTGGCCAGGAGAAGCTTCTGTCTTGCCAACGTAATTCTTTTGGCTTCTGCAACCTGGTGCTTGGAAATTGCATTGGAGTGGCTGCGCCACAAATGCTGTTGCAAGCTCGCTGCTTGCAAATCGTATTGGAGTGGCTGCATCAATGCTGCTCTATTTGCTATAGCGCACATAGCTACATGGTCTTTTACAACTTGCTGCTTGCAAATTGCATTGGGATGGTTGCACCAAAGTTGCGGCCATTAGTTTTTGACGATTTTTCTCGTTTTTGGTGCTTTCCATTTTCCTTTTATTTGTGCTTTTAAAAATGCCGTTGGCGCCGAGATCCCCGGTTTTGGAGCAGGCTTTGGGCCAGGAGAAGAGCTGAGAGAAGAGCTGAGATGAGGTGAGAAGAGCTGAGATCAGCTGAGAAGATGTGATAAGAAGAATACATGAGATGAGCTGACATGGGCTGCGAAGAGCTGAGAAGAGTTGTGTGAAGAGCTGAAAAAATCTGAGAAGAGCTGAGATAAGCTGAGATGGGATGAGTTGAGAGGACCTGGCATGAGAAGAGTGGAGAGCTGAGAAGAACTGAGTTGAGACGAGCTGGGCAGAATGGAGAAGCTCAGAAGAAAAGAAAAGAGGTCAGATGAGCTGAGAAGAGATGAGAAAAACTCAGATGACATGAGAAGAAATGAGAGCAGTTCTGATGAGCTGAGAAGAGCGGAGAAGAGGAGAGAGAAGACATGAGATGAGATGACATGACATGAGATGAGATGAGGTGCGGTGAAAAACGCTGAGAAGACACGACATGAAATGAGATGAGATGAGATGGGATGACACAGACTGCGGTAACAATGGGACGCAATGAGCAATTTCCAAGAGAAGCTGCGATGCAGTGAGACCAGCTGAAATGAGAAAAGATCCAACCTTGATAAGAGATCCCACCGGAATGAAAAGTCAAGAGATTGCTGCGATGCACAGAAGCTTCGGCCGCACTCTGTAGGCTATACGCGTCTTAATTTTGAAACTTCCACCCCCGGCTTGCCTGGGTACCACTTGTATGGATTTGTTTTATTTAATTTATTTATTGGTTGATTGATTTATTGATTGATTCATTTTTTGTTTGTTCATTTTCATCTATATTTATATTTATTTTCATTTACGTATGTATTTATTGGTTTATCGGTGATAACTATTTATTTATCTATTTATTTATTCATGTATTTATTTGCTTTATCTATTTTCTAAAGCCAATTTTTATATTCACTTATTTATTTATTTATTCATTTATCTATCTATATAGAATAGTACATATGACATTCTATGGCTTATATATTATATCGAGCTAGTTAAAAGAGATGACACAGGGTGTTTGAAGACTGCTGATGACCGGCCGCGTAACTCTGTGCGACATCTCTGCGGCCAAAGGTCGATGTTAGCTTCGCTCCGTCCAGCTACACCTTGTGCGGGTGGCTGGGCTGCAGGTGCAATGAATGATGAGTGGACACAAGTTTTGAATCGAATGGGCACACGGAATCAAAGATGCTCAGCTGACTTTCAGGCATTGCAAAGTTTGGTTCTTTCGCAAACCATTTAAGGATTCAAGAGCCAATGATTTCTAGAATTCTTCAAAGTGTCAAGCAGCGCCATGTCTATTGTTCCAATTTGAGCTCAATCTTGCATCTATGGCCATTATGGATCGAAATCTCCGGAGCCCTGCTGCAGCACGGGTATAACCCAAACAGCTAAGAAGGCTACATGTCTTACGGACACGACAGGACAGTTGTGGAGTGCCTTTGGCACCACACTGCCCTGCACCTCAGCACCTCGCCTAAACTGTTAAACAGCTGAGAAGGCCACCAATAAGTACGAGATATGAGTAGTGAATGCCGTTCTTGCATGTTTAACAGCCGGCATACACAATGCTAAGGCAAAATCAAGCGGCTGAGATAGCCCAGCATGCCTCCGATTGACCAGGCCAAAATCTCGTCCATCATGTGTCGTTCAGCATGGCAATACCAAAACATTTTCACACGTACCACGCAAGTACCCATCGCAAAGTTTGGTTCTTTCGCAGACCATTATTAAAGGATTCAAGAGCCAATGATTTCTATAGTTCTTCAAAGTGTCAAGCAGCGGCAGCTGAATCTTGCAGCTATGGATTGAAATGAACCTGCTGCAGCACGGGTATCACCCAAACAGCTAAGAAGGCTACATGTCTTACGGACACGACAGGACAGTTGTGGAGTGCCTTTGGCACCACACTGCCCTGCACCTCAGCACCTCGCCTAAACTGTTAAACAGCTGAGAAGGCCACCAATAAGTACGAGATATGAGTAGTGAATGCCGTTCTTGCATGTTTAACAGCCGGCATACACAATGCTAAGGCAAAATCAAGCGGCTGAGATAGCCCAGCATACCTCCGATTGACCAGGCCAAAATCTCGTCCATCATGTGTCGTTCAGCATGGCAATACCAAAACATTTTCACACGTACCACGCAAGTACCCATCGCAAAGTTTGGTTCTTTCGCAGACCATTATTAAAGGATTCAAGAGCCAATGATTTCTATAGTTCTTCAAAGTGTCAAGCAGCGGCAGCTGAATCTTGCAGCTATGGATTGAAATGAACCTGCTGCAGCACGGGTATCACCCAAACAGCTAAGAAGGCTACATGTCTTACGGACACGACAGGACAGTTGTGGAGTGCCTTTGGCACCACACTGCCCTGCACCTCAGCACCTCGCCTAAACTGTTAAACAGCTGAGAAGGCCACCAATAATAAGTACGAGATACGCGTAGTCAGTGAATGCCGTTCCAGCATGTTTAACAGCGGGCATACACAACGCTAAGGTAAAATCAAACACCGAGCGCGGTAACATTCGGCTCAGCGTGGCATTAACAACCTCCGATTGACCAGGCCAAAATCTCGTCCATCATCTGTCGTTCAGCATGGCAATGGCAGCTCCCAATAGACCAAACCCAGAACCCGGTCCATGCCCACCAAAACATTTTCACACGTACCACGCAAGTAGCCTGCACCCACCAACAAAGCAAGGAGGCCCAGCGTGAATTCGGCTACGATGCCCACAAAGCTTAGTTGGACAGCAAAAGGAAGTTCTCGCAGACCATGAAGTGCAGGTGATGAGTTCAAGGATCTGGGCTGCCCAAACCACTTCCGCAGCCGAGACCATGCATCTGTCTCTGAATTGCCCAACGAGACAACTTTCTGGGGAACACATGTCGTGGTTGTGGGACTGGTAGACTGCACAGGTGTGGTCAGATCTGCTACGGATGGTACGGACTCAAGTGTTGAGGTCCTCTTCAGAGAGAGTTTGCCCGACTTCTCCAATTCCGACATTCTCCAGGGGTCACCTTGCTGAACATTCGGCAAGTGCTCCAATGAAATCAGCTGCGTTGGATCAGCATTGTCTCCATTGGCATTGACTTTCAAGAGGCCAGGACCAGCAGGATTCACTGACTCCCGGGTTACCACCTCATCCTCGATGACTTCCCCAACAAGGAGGAAAATCAGGACCCACAGAGCCGAAAGGTTGAAGGATGGAAACGTTGGACCTTCTTGGAATGCACCGTAGGAAACGAGCCTGGCAACAAACAGAGAGGTGATGGCTGCAAAGCGAAAGTAGCCAGCATAGATTTTCAACTCATCGTGGTATTTGCTCCAGCCCGTGGGCGCAAAGATTGCCATGGCTTTGGGCCCACTGCAGAGCTTCTTGCCCAGCTGGATCAGCATAAAGCGTGACCAACCAAGACGTGCAGAAAGGTTCAAAGCCACGCTCAGCAGGGAGGTTGGGATCCAGTTCCAGCCGCCGCTTTGGATGACGCCGGATAAGGTGGCAGTCAAACGACATCCTTCCGCAAAGGCATGGGCGGACATGATCAAGCATGGTGCTGGAATGTAAAGCTGGTCACCCACCAATGGCCCCTCTGGGTCACTTTTGTTTGAGTGGACAAAGCGGTTGTACATGAGCCGCGTGAAAATCACCATGCCGGTCTCGGCAAAGGCGGTCCCAAATGGCAAAAAGAATGTGGCAGCAAGAGACTGACCACTTGCAAGCAAGGTGGCATAGACTTGCGCAATCAACCCGAACAACACGAAGCATCCCACGGTTCCAGAAATCTGCGCTATCGTCCAGAGCAAGTGAGGGAGAAAGCGTCGGTTGGGGTTGACGCCAATGGTGTTGTAGTAGTGGACCGGGAGGGTCACCAAAATCCTTCGGTTCAATCCAGGCGGCAAGTAAACACATAGCAATCCCATAATGTAATGTCCATATAATGATATTAGGTCTGGATATCCTAAGTTGGTAATGTTGTATCCTGATTAGTACCATGCGCCGGTATTGGGTCAAGTTTTCCCAAAATTGTTCTGACCCTGTGAATTGATGGGGGTTGGTCGGTATTGTGTCATTTTTTCTGGTCAATTGTTTCAGCATTTTTTTTGCAGTTTTTCATTGTTTGAACATGTTTCCATTTTTTCAGTTGAAAAACAGCAATCAACATAGCAAGTCCCTTATTAAAACACCATTAACTAAAACATAGCGCCCAAACAATTTTTCAAGGGGGTAGCCCATGAGCAACATTGATCTTCAATAGTATGTTTGTTGTGGTGGTCCTCTATTGAGATTTTTTTCTGGGGTGAAAATTTTCATATATCCCTTTATCCCTTCCTTTGCTATAGCTTTTCTCTTTTACTTTTGTGAATTTGGTACGGAATCGTCAGCAGCCCACCGTGTTCAAGTAGTGCGAAACACTCAAGGGCCCTAAGATCCAAACGGCAACAGCATGTACATGTCAACCCGGGCATTCACACGACAATGACATGAGATCAAATTGACACTCAACCTGTTCTACGGGTGACATGCGGCTATACAGGAAAAACGTTGTTTTCAAACCGGGCTGCTGAACTAATCAGCTTAGGGCCCTATCGCTTTGGCTGTGCTTGTCTATGGACTCGGTACAATTTTCCTTCAGCACATGCAGCATGAAATCGGGCTTCATCGACTTCGTCGAGCAGTCGGAGATCATAGTGGCAGTTGAGATATGTTGAGATCCACTCCAGACAATCTCCTCCATTCTGCATTGAAGTCCATGTCTTCTGACCATCACGCCACAAGTTGTCATGAATGGCAGTCAGCTCAATGCCAAGCCGCTTGTCATGCACGCAAGCCGGAATCTCGGCCGCCAGGTGATCTGCAAGACTTCGACAATCTGTGAAACCAAGATGTGGTATATGCACATCCTTGATCCTCTTCCCTCTTCTGTCGGCCCCGAATCTGGCCCTTCAACTCGGCGATCACTCCTCTGAGTTTGTCACCAGCTTCGAGACCATGTTGCAGAGAATAGGTCTCCGCTTGCAAGGTCGATCGGCACACTCGGCGGATCGTTGTTGAGCCAAACGAAAGTGGCAGAACCCGATAGGTGTTCTTCGGATCCTTTGCTTCATTGATGCCTGTCACAAAATGAAACCTTCCTTGCTGCGATCTGTAATTGGCTTCATTCGAGAAGCTTGCATCTGTCACTGTGAGAAGCGCAATCTCATCCAACTTCAAATGGTTCATGGGAAATCGCAATTTCACTTCGCTTCTCGTGCTGCACGTACATCAACTGTAATTGTCCCATCCGGATCGCGAGCAAATTGTTTTCCACAATATCTGCAGTTGTCTATTTCGGTTGATCCAAGGTCGAATTTCAACAAGGCTCTCCTCACTGTTTCCTCCGCTTCGGGTAGGTATGCGTAGAGCAAATCATCCACATGCGAAGCCATAACCGCAACGCAATCTCCATCTGAACCATGAAGACAGTACAACGCTGGGTAAATGTGACTAACATTGAAGCCTGTACCATCATCCAGTTGCAGCCAGAAACCACGGCCTGAATCTGTCAAACCGTAAATGGGAACGCGAATTCGAGTAGCAATGCTTCGGGGTCAACGCCTTCCAGCCCGCCCCTGGGCTGAGCCATGAGCAAGACTCGATCCAGTGGCCGAGCCTGAAAGTTTGCATTCGTGACATCAGCAGAATGCAAACTTATCCTGTGACAGGATGTCCATATGGCTATCAACAAGTGAAGGTCGATGTCCGCCGTCGGCGAATCACTGCACAACCCCGCGGTGGTTTCCAAAGTTTCCGCATGACACAAGCCTGCTCTTCCAGACTGGAGCATAGTCGGGTGAGCCTTTCCTGTGTTCGGCTTTATCCGTGTCTACCCACTTGCTGGGCACCACGGTGTGTCCCTCTGCCAGGAGAATTTCCTTCTCCTGTCCGGTTAGCGGGATCGCTGCTGCAAACTGTACAAACTTATTCCACTCTTCGGCACGCAAAGAGTAACAGCCTTCCTGCACATCAGGCGGAGCGGAATCAAAATGGATGACTTTCAGCACCTTCTTGCCGGGTGCTTCATCAACTCCTTCAACCCCTTGGGAAAGGAAAGTTGAAAACATAGCTGTTGCATCTCCATGATCTTCAAGTTGTACTGCTTGCGCACGAGCGAAGTGCTCACGGAGTTGTTGAGGCAAATCATCAAGGTTTCGATGAATGCTGGGCCAAGAACGCGGCGCAGTCGCGCGCGATGTAGGTGCACTTGCCGATGCTGATGCGCTTGCAAGACTCTGTGCGTGAAGGCATCAACGCTGTCCCTCTATCGGACTCCGGCTGTGGCACTTCCGTTCTTGGCCTGACATTTCTGTCAGGAGCAACCACTGTGACTGTCCTCCATCAGCTCGGAATTGAATCTGGAAGAAGTTCACCATCTCCACCACCATCAGTGTCATCTCCATCAAAGATACCAGGTCGAACGCCCCAAACGGAGTCATCGCCCTCTTCGACAGGTTCTAGCTCTTCATCATCTTCTTCAGGAACAGGTGGTAGATCTTCATTCCAAATTGGCAAAGCATCATCCAAAACAGAAGGTGACGGGCCAGTGACGGGGCCATGTCGTCCTCGCTCGCTGCTGCAACTCTTCTTGCATCCAAGAAAGATGTTGCCCACCATCATTGACAATGTTTGCTGGTATAACCATTTGAGAACTGCCTGAGCCAAAGCTTCCGATGGACTCGCAATCCTCACATTCTGCGAAACAACCAGAACTGGAACATTGCCACACAACAGCCACAAGTTCTTCGGCCCTTCATGGCCAATCACTCTCGAGGTAGGTGACCATGATGTATGTCCTCTGTGATTGTCACGCTGAAAAGTGACCAAATCACCCATGGAAAATTCTCTTGGAACAACTGAAGCATTCTTGGTAAGAGCACGCTGTACACGCCTTGAACAATCAAGATTCACATAAGCCTTTTGAGCTTCAATTCTTGCCATGTGTTGTAAAGAAAAAATACTTGAAGGGTCATGTCGAGCCTCGATTGCACCAAGCTCTGCAAACTGTTCCTCCGACATGACTGAAGACATTCCTCTGGGTGCTCTGCCACGTACCCATTGAGCAAGGCTAAATCCTCCAACTCTGCTGCTGTCGTTCTTGACCATCAAAACCTGGTTGAGACATTGCTCAACCTGTTCTCTGCCAATAGCACCAACCTCAGATGATGCAACACGACGATGCATGGCTTTGAGCAAGCCACCATGCCGTTCTGTTCTCCCAAGAGACTCTGGGCTTTCCAACGGAACATGATCCACTTGTATGCCGTGTTCATCCATGTATTGTTGAAACACACCTCTGTTGTGCAACCCTCTGTCGCACACTATGAAAACTGACACACCAGCCCAGGCTACCCAACGCGGAATAAAGCTGTTTAGGCAATCACGGGTTGAAGCCTGGCCTGCACCGATCTTGATCACTTCGGCCTGTTGAAAACAAGTACCCAAACGCACCATGTTGAGCACCTGATACTTCTCACCACAGGTGTTGGTGATTTCCAGTAAATCCAAACCTACAGAGCTGTTAAACGTGTACTCATGAGGCAAAGACGCTTTGTGTGTAGGGCGCTTGGGCGCTGTACGTTCACAAGCATCACAACGATGGAGCCGTGCGGCTTCTGCAAATTGCTTCTTGATCTTTGCTGCCCTCAAGAGGTTGACCATTGTGACCTTGGGAATGTGTCCAAAAGCACGGTGCAAACGACGAACTGCAATACGAACACGCTGTGGGAGTTTGTGTGAAGCACGGCGTCTCTCAGTCTCCGGCAATCCAGGCACGCCAACATCATCCAACAATGTCCCTTCTGCAATTAAATCTTCAACAGGATAGGACCGTGCCAAATCATCAGGACTCCAGGCTACATCAAGTGTGCCTTCCTGATCTTCTGCCTCGTCTTCTTGCACTGCGGCAGGAAATGCAACACTCATACTATCAACAACCGATTGTTCTGCTGACCAATCTTCCAACCACTGACAAAAATCCCAAGTCGAAATACCATCCGTCACCAAAAGAGAAGAAAAATCACCAAACGCTGAAATCAAATCATCATTGTTGCAAGCGTATGCCAAACCAAGTTCATTGATGTAAGGCACTTGTGGTGTTGGATAATCTTCCCACCTTCGGGTCTGTGCATCGTCCACCATGAGAAAACTACATCCTGTGGCATCACAAAAGCTTTCCAATTCAAACAACATACGAGAATGGTTCAAACGAGTTTCAGGGGTTCTATACTCAATTGCAACTATTACCAACTTACAACCATCAAAGATCTGTTGCCAGTCCACCCCATCAGATACGCCATCCAAGTTCTCTGCATACACCCCAACGTCGTAGACGTTCTCGAATGTGTCCTGGAAAAGGATCGGATGCGAAGTCACAACAGCAACATGGGAAAGATTGGGAAGCTGCAATGGTCTCATCCCCAAACTTGACCGCATTGTAGTGGCATGTTGATCAAAAACTGTCCTCCGATGTTTCCTAGACTTGGCTGTCCTCTCATCGGGATGGACCGAAGGTGAATCAACTTCAACCACAAAATCTGAATCTGAACCCAATCTCAAATGCCATCATCGCAACACGAGGTGAATCATCGGATGCTCTCTTATAGGTGTACGAATAGTCAGTTTCATAGTCAAAAGGTTCTTGTTTGACAAGTCGTTCAAGTTTGCTGGGAACAGGTTCAACCTTGACTTAAACTGGATCTTTGACAATGTTCTGAACACTTGGGGTCAAAACAACATGAGGTTTTGCTTTGGATTTCACCGCAAACATCTTCTTGGGGCTCAATGGCTTCTCAAAAGCATCACGAACATCCCTCAACTTCGGGGTCCGCCGCCCCACAGCTGCAGCCCTCAGGCACAGGGCAATGACTCGATTCAGAGCTTCACCATCGACCAAGTCTGGTCTCGCAGTGGCACCGTGGTACTTCCCCTGGGCCAAGTTCTCCCTGAGTGGATCAGCGACGACGGTGAAGAGGAGGAGGTTCTGGAGGTTCTGGAGGTTCTGGAGGTTCATGTGGTGTCAGCTGCACTGGAGTTGCACCACGCCAGCTCGAAGATGTGTGTCCCGTTTCAGAACTTGTATCACGCACCCGTCTCACCGGAGATCGGGGCCGTCTCACGCTGAATATGTCTCTGGTCGAACTGCGTCACCTCGAAGGACTCCAATCACGTCGACGCCTCGGCACTGATGGAGGTCTTGGTGGCGCCGACACCTTGGAGGTGTATATAGGGCACCGCTTGGACCTCCGGGCCAATCGGGAGCGTCTCACTGATCTGGATCTCCGCGACTTCTGGGTCCCTCGGACTCCTTTGCACCTTTGGCTCTTGAAGCAGCTATCTGATATCTCATCTCTCAGGTCCTCCAACCTGTCATAGATCACATGCACTGTCTTCTCCATGTCTGCCAGATGCTTGGGGCTAAATCAAACCGCATCCACCACTGAGACATACTCACCTTGACCGTCGCCAGCTCCACCGTCTCGAACATCACGTTCAGGACGCGCTGGCATTGCCTTTGGGCGAGCAGGCGCTAGGATTGGTCCACGGTGTTGAGGAGGAAGGATAGAGTCGATCTTTGCCAGGCATCGGCTGTGATCACGGCACGCAGAGCACATTCCACCGCACTTCATAGTTGTCCTGTGTCCCCTCCGTTTCATCTGCTGCAACGCACAAAATCCAGCGCACGCATTCCAGATTTGCAACGGATCTCTATCAAGATTCCTTCGCTGTTGTCGCAATCCCCAACCAAAGCCTTGATGCTGCTGAGCACATTGACAAACTCCGGGGCTCCGATCAAGGACCCACTGATGCCTGCGACCCACCCCACGTGAACTGTCATCGCGGGATCCCGTGCTGGGTCCTGCAAGTGCTCCACATCAATGATCACATGCTTCCTGCCACCAGTGTCCAACGGTTGGGCTCCGAAGCGCTTCCCCCTTGTGACTATGATGGCACTTGCTTCAGGGCTAATCACCAATTCGCGTTGGACTTGTCAACGATCTTGATTGTGAAAACCCACGACCGACATCGAAGTCTCGTCCAAAGCGAGCATCGCTCTGAGTCGCCTGTGGGCCTTTGGTATGTCCACTGGGGCCCCTAGAGTGAGATGTGTCAACCCTTCAGTGAGATTCATCATCAATAAATCTGTTTTATGGCATCTGTAAACCTTGAGTTGTTCTCCATTGATTGGAATTGATACCATTCTTCAGGTCCTTTGCTAGGCCTAACTTCGTCTGAGCATGCAATGACAATAGAAGGGGGCTATGACCTGCTGTCGCCATTGACTTTGTCCGTCTTGAGCACCGAAGAAAACGGAATTGAGCATACCCCTTCGGTCTTGGTGCTACCACTGCCCAGACCAGCAAAGCTCCTCCCCCCATCATCCTTCAATGGCATGGTGTAACCAAACCAGGCTAGCTTCTTCTCTGGATCAGCTGCCCATGTACTGCTATGACAAGTACTGTTACAACCTTCCTCCAACAAAGCAAACACATGGGAGACTTCTCAACGTCGATTGATTCGAAATTCATATAGACAAGGTCTGAAGGAAAATGGCTCTCACTGCCGTGGAGGCATACCCCAACGTAACCCGCAGCTGGACGAACACCAGGGTCCAATTGACCCTCGTCCCCAACAACAGAGAAACTGTCCTCTTCCAAAATGTCGTCGATCAATTGATGCAGAAGTTCATGAAGTCGAGAGCGCGTGATGTGATGGCCTCAGATTCAGCAGCGGAAGAGCAAGTTGTGCAAACTGGGGTAAAATCTTGTCCAACTGACCAGGAGTGAGAATCTGGGAATCCTCATCAACAATGCTTTCAATGACAGGCAACTTGTTCACCTGAACAGTCTCAACCTTCGTGGCTATGGTTGTACGTTCCTTGAACACTTGCATTGGGGCCTCATCAATGTAAGTACAACACTGTTTGCAGTACACACGACGTGTGGTCCTACTGGATCCCCGATGGTCAACATCCTCATGTGGACACTCATCAACTGGATATGTTGGCTCTTCCTGTCTACGCTCTGTTGTACAATGACCACAATCCAAACAAGTTTTGCGAATTGTGTGTCCAGTTGACCCCTGGTTTCGTGAAGTCCTTGCAAACTTGACACTTTGCAGGCTTTGGAGGGTTTGGTGGTTTCCTCCTGCCCGAATCCCGGGTCACGCGTGAATCAGGTGCATAGTATGGAGTAGTTCGCATGAAAATACCAACTTCATTGATGTCAAAGTATCGGTCAACCCATTGTATCCATTCCCAACAGTATGGGCTCTTAGGGCCATTCTTCTTTGCCGATCTGTGGAAATTGGTTGATCATGCAAACATTCCAAAATGTCAAGCCCTTGAACTGCCCAACAGGGAAAACAATGTCACTCTTCTCGGGCCTCATTGTAACATCGAGGTCACTGGTCGATGTTCTGCACTTGATGAAGCTGGAGCTGAAGCCTTTGCAGATGGTCGAGGCTGAGAACCACTCGGCCCAGACCGACGCACTGCCATGTGTGCCACATGCTTTCCTGCTGGAGAAGCTTCAAGATAAAGTCCATCATCGTCTGAACTGTCGCTCATGCCGGCAAGGCTGGCAGTGGGTTTCACCGTACTGCTCTTCCGAGCATCTGGACCTCTCGATCCAGGAAACTTGCATGCTGGATCTCCAGCCCAGTGACCAATTGCACCACAACGTATGCACTTTGATCGCTTCTTCAAGTCAGCCAGCTTTGCACGACGTTGCTCGATTGTAAGATGAGAGCGAACCAACTTGCCCTTGCCGGGTTTGCCTTTTTGGCCAAACTTGCCCTTGGCTTTGCCACAAGCTACATGAGCTGCCAATTGCAATTGAATCGCATCACCAGCTTGCTTCTCATCAGCGTCTTCGACATCCAACAAACAGTTCAATGCCATTGCTTCGTACTTGTCAACATCATCGAAGTAGCCATAGTCATCCTCACCAGCTGCTTGAGGTTCATCTTCAATTCCACCAAGAAGACCAATGTAGGATTCGTCCTCATTCCAAATTTGTTCATCATGCCGATGTTCTTCCCAATGCTGCTCATCAACGTCCTCCCCATCGGGGTGGGCGGTGTAAGCTGAACGTGGATACGAACCCTTTCAAGAAGAAGATGTATACTTCGCCTTTCCGGGGCCCTTTCCACGCGACTTTCCAGGCAACGTAGATGTAGGTACACGTCCTGTCCAGGATCGTGAGCCCTCACGAAGATGTATCTGTCCATATTGTTCGATAAGTACCTTGGCGGCACCTTCAAAGTCCTTCTTGTCGTGACAAACCAGACAATTCAAGCATCAGTTCCATCCTGAGTGAGTCTGACAACTGCATCAATGGGTCTAGCTCTATCAGAGTCTTCCACCATCTTCTACGCCGCTGTGTGTAGCTCAACATAGTAGGTTCCAATGACTCTCTTACCAATGGTCCACCAATCCTCCGACCAGCTCGAAACAACTCCTTTGCTTCTTCCTGCGCTCTGGGGAAAACATGAGCCTTGATCTGAGTGATCAAATGCTCCAATCCACCAGCTGCAGTCAGCTGATCAAGTCCAACATCACGAGCAATTGCAAAAGCATCTCCACGCAGTCCCTCAACGATCTTGTTGACAAGAGGTCCACGGCCAACAGGCTTTGTCGAAGTCGATCTCGCTCCACCGGCCTTGCCGGAGCTCGGAGTCGAGGGTGGTTTCGAAGTGTTGTGTCTTGACAAGTCTGGAAACGTAGGCATGTCTTCGCTCTCCTCATCCTCATGCTCTGCAGCCACAACCGGGCCCGCAGAAGCTGATTCAAACAAGGCTATCCTCAGACCTGCTCTGAACTCCCAATCATGAAAGTGTCCAGCGTCTCCATGGTAGATGTAGGATCCTGACTTCGTCTCCAAAGGTGTAGAGCCATACTGCCCCTGAACGAACTTCAATCCATTCACGGACATGACAATCTTCCGTCCCTTCCGGATCGGGATGCCCGCTCGGCCGCGAGTCGGACAATTGCAGAACCTTCCTCAACTTGAGGTCGGCCAATTTCAAGAATAGCGAGATTCAAATTGTCTTACGGAGTTGCACAAAGATTCCCTGGGTCTGCGACGTACCAGGAGTCAGGTCATCACCTGCCCCGCTACCAATGTGAATTTGGTACGGAATCGTCAGCAGCCCACCATTTCCAAGTATTGCGAAAGATTCAAGGGCTCTAAGATCCAAACGGCAACAGCATGTACATGTCGACCCGGGCATTCACACGACAGTGGCATGAAGTCAAATTGACACTTTCTTAGTTCCATTCTTCTGGATGTCTCAAAATGACTCATTGCCCCAATTTTAGTGGCTTTTGAAAATCACATTTAAACATGAGCAACTCTGATCCTTCAATAATATGTTTGTTGTGTGGGTCCTCTATTGTGTCAAGATTTTTTTGAGGTGATTTTTCGAAATCACTTTATCCTGTCCTTTAGTATAGCGTTTGTTTCTTACTTAGTTCAATTCTCCTTGCATCCTCTCCTTAATTTCTATGGTGTTCCTATATGTTTCAATGGAACGTCTGTGGGATTGCTATGGGATCTCTATGGAATTTCTCTGGTGTTTCTATGGGACCCCTATGATATGTAGAAGGGGTTTCTACGGGATTTCTTTGGAAATTCTCTTAGGTCTCTCTGGGATTCCTATGGGATTTCTTTGACTACTGTGAATTGGGAGCAGACCACGCCCAGGAACTCCTGTTCCTCTTCCAACCAGCTACCTAGCTGCAAACGCTCGGACTCTTTCACACCATTGCGGACATGAGTCCAAAAGGATCCTGCACATTGAGCCCCTAGGGTATCGACGTCGGATGTTCCTGCAAAGGTGGACCCTGGCTGGATGCTGTGGCAATTGACGCTCACTCTATTCTAAAGAGAAAAAGGGAAAAGTCAACGTCCCAACGCTGCTCATATCCAACTTCCAAAAAGCAAAAACGCAAGAGCGCAGCATGCCTCAAGACTCGATCTCTCACCGTACACCCTATTTGAGGATGCGAGTCAAACTAGTTCCAGGGATCACCGGCAACTGGCTGGTCACGGCCGTCTGGTGACGACGCACACACAAGTAAAGGCTCAGATCCAGCAAAAGGCCCTTGGCACCTTGCACTTGCTTGACTGCCCACTCCACATAGGAAATATTCTCTTCATCAGCGCTGGAAAACGACTCTTCATAGCTCAAACCTTCAGCACCTTTCTTGGCCATGCAGCGCCCAAACTGGATCACGTTGCGACCCCAGGTTTCCACACTATCCATTCCTTCAGGCAGAAAGATAGGCTGACCATGAGGAGTCATGCGCAAGGCCTGACGATCGGATCCGTCAGGATATCCCAGAGGTGACAAGGCTGCATATGCACGCTTGGGCTGGCCTTCCAACAGTTCATCAGAGCCACGACGCTTGGAGGCATCAGTCATGGCATGACCTGATTCAGAAGGATCAATGAAGGCGAAGCTACCCGGTGAAGAAGGCTCTGATCCATCCACCGGCACGGCAGCACGTGCCAGAAGCTCTTTCAGCATGGCACGTTCTTGAGCACTCAGTGGTTGACTCATATTGGGTCAAGGCACATGATGGAAACAGCGGTGCTTGAACCTTGAACTTCGGCTGGAGGAAAGCAATACTTCAATTTCCCCTTGAAGGCAGTACTTGCATGCTGCATGCTTGAAAAACTATTTAGCGCTCGCACTAAAATTACCTCAGTAAGGAACTAGGTTCATTGTGGTTTGGTGCGAGAGTTCACACTCGCCTCTTGCGTTCTTCTGCTTGAAGTTTCAAAACTGTTTCTTCAGGGCTGATTTGGTATGTGGTGTTTCTGATGCAAGCCCTCAGCAAATCCGTGGGATCACCAGCACTTTTGGTCAGGGAGTCTGCCAGCATTCGGTTGGTCGGAACCCAACTGACAGAAGCACTCAGATATCCTATGCTCTGCCGCAGGATTACAATATCTATTGAGGTTCTGCAATCTTCTTCTGAGGTCGGGGAGGAAACAGCAATGAGATGGTCGTAAAGAGACCTACAGTCAGTGACAATTACTGGAGGACGAGTCTTCAAGTGATTGACATAGTTACGAACATCTGTAATACCTTCCAAGGCCTCAGAAGAAGAAGCGCAGTCCATTCTGAGGTTCCTGTTGCAGCAACCATCGCCGGCGCTTCAGCTGCCAAGGTTGAGCCTACGGCCCTTGACAACTTGAAGGATTTCCACACGGCAGGAGTCCATGTAGTCCCCTTACCAAGATCTAGATCATCAGTGGAAAATCCAATGACATAACCTGCTTGAGTGTGGTCTCCTACGTTCACAAAAGCAGCATCGGAGTGCACGCACAGTCGCAACTTGCTAGCTGGGATGGGCTGAAATGACAGCTCGAGATCTGAAAACTGTTTGGCTCTGCGCACGATGTTATTGGCTTCCAACAAGTGATGCACTGTGGGGGTAGGAAAACACTAGCCTGGGCTGCTAAGTCAGGCCTACTTTGTGAAGCTAACCATCCCAAACTGCCATTGACCGCACAAGACACTAATTTCCTTAGGATCCATTCAAGGCTTCGGCAAACGAACGCTGAGTCATGTGGATAATACCAGTGGCTACATCTTGTCGATAGTGGGCTCCTGTGAATTCACCTTCCTGAGTACGCCATTTCCTATATGGAAATCCAAGGCTTGTTGCTACTTTTTGCCCTCTCCACCAGTAGCTGCGTCATCAACATGTGCACCAAGGACGCCGGTCAACTTGCCATGTTCCCTCATAAAGTAGAGGCAGCTGTCCAGCTTACTTCGCTCAAAACCTGCTCTAAGGACTTTTGGTCAAAAACACGATACCAAGCTGCTGGGGCATCGTTCTGCCCATACACATGTCCAAGGATTTCAATCAGACATTCTGGATCTACCCCAGGAATTCGGGCTTGTAACATGCAGGAATTGGGCCCGCTTCGAGAAAGGCCCCTTTAATGTCTCCCAGTTGCAACAGCCATCGATGAGACGCTATCAGTTGAAACAACACAGTGCGGCCCATCTGAGACAAAGTAGGTGATTGCAAACGACCTGCGCTTGCCTTGTCTGACAGGTCAGGGTCCAAATGAGCTTGCAAACACCAACGTGCTTTTACCTTCCAGTGACTCAAATTGCTTGGATCGGCTTGGCCACGTGTCTCAACGATGTCTTCTTCCGGCTTCTTGACAATCACAAAACGACTACCCATGATACGGTTGGCTTTGTGGTTACGTATCCAGTTAGACTCATGAGCAGGGACAATCCTCACAGCACCTTTGTCGATCAAGGTTTGCCACTACGATACCTTCGCCTGGTCAACCCTGGCTTGCAGCATGGGTTCATTTCGGCTTGCAGGAATCTCTTTCTGGGCTCGTTTGTTTTAATACTGTTGAATCAAAACTTCAACGGCATTTACTGAGTATCCCTAAGGGCATTCCACAGGTCACGAGACTCTTGCTTGGAACATTCAGCGGCTTTAGGCTCCGGCTCTTCGGCTGAAGACTCTGCAGGACGTCTCTTGTCTCCAGAAACTACTTGCTCCTCCCTAGCTACCGCATCTTCAATCAATTGACGGACTACTTCACGCATGACACCGACAAAATCGTCATGTTTCATGGCAGCTGGGCGGAACATGGTCAGTGGGCCGCTCTTTGCTGGGATTCTGGACCTACGCACGGGATCATAGGAAGTGGCTCGGCAGGGGGTTGCTCTGCAGAGACAGTTCGGAAGACTGTTCATTAGTGATCATCGGTTGGTCTTCAAACACAGTGGGTTCTTCAGCATGTGACTTAGGAACCGATGCTTCACCAGTTACTGCAACTTCCGGTTCTACTGACTGGCTAGAGGCATGACTGGAAGACTTGACATCTGACGACACGGCAGGAGATTCACCGCTAAGACCTTGAACAACAGACTCTTCTTGAGGAGGATACGACTGTGCCAACAAGTCTACATATTGAGAGCTCCTGAAAGTGCCGCTTTCGATCATGTCTTTGATTCTCGGTACCTGGAGTTTCGATCAGAAACTTTTCCTCTCATGTCGCTGCAGGCACTTGTTCGGGGCGCATCGGATGATGTGATTGCGGTGGGCAACTATGACATTGCGACCTATCAAACCAATGACAACACCACTTCCATACCATTTACCTTCCTGAGACAACACCCCTTGGGACCACTTTTGATCTCTCCAGTAGGCAAGGGAGAGATCACTACGTGGTCTGGCCAGCAACGCGCGACGCAGGGCTCGGTCATCTTGCAAGGCCAACACTGCCTTCCGGGCTGTCAGTCTCACAGACTGAGCTTTGGCTACCACTGCGTCTTGGATGGATGCACTACCAGAGACAACATTTATGGGTTCGTTCAGCAAGTCCCCGGGAACTTCAGGGTTACGACCGACTCTTTGACTAGGAGTAAAGTAAAGATCATCTGATTCTTCACATGAGACTGCATCACACATTCCAACCAGTCCTCCTTGGATTGGGGCTCACGCTCCGCCACACCTTAGCTAACACGCGGCTGAACCAGCCACCATGAACCTCGTTTTTACCGAGGTGCCAGTGGGCACCTGCAGCGGTCACATGGATGTGAGTCCCTTCAAGTTCTGTTGGAGAAACCATTGCCTGACCCAAGTTCGTTCGAGCAGGATCTAAAATGATCTCTTTACAGGGTCCCGCCCATTGAACCCATTTTTCAAGATACAACTTCCTCAACACTGTGGAAGTCTCAGTTTCGAAAAATGGCACCATGATTTGAAAAAACGTCGCATGATCCACCATGTTTAAGGCAGCTATTTTCTGATTAGGTTTCCAACCCGGTAAGTACTTGACATCTAACCCCACCCTTTGGTTAAATTCAGACACTGAACTGGTCTTACCTGGGTTTGCGGGTGCTGGCAACTGTCTCGACTTGCAGAAATCGCAGGACAGTGTTCTGGCGGCCTGAATAGCCTGCTCGCTGGCATTTCCGTGCTTCAAAACCCTGACTAGATCACTGTTGCTAGGGTGACCCAAATTCTTGTGGAGTTTGTGCAACGCGCTGTCAATCTTTGAGGGTTCAACTTGTTCCATAACTGCCAAGGCTTCAAAGACGGCTGCATCAGGGACAAGGCATGCGTCCTCAACACATGTCAAACCTTGGGCAGGATTCCTGAATCTTGGAACTGTGTTCAGGACAGCGGAAACAAACTGCGGAGTATATCTACCTGCATGGGTACTCACTTGACCCAGGCCGGGCTCACTTCCTGCAACTTGTCGGTGACATACATGGCTTGGGTCATCGGCTCCTGGACAATTCCGGCGCAGCACACACATGTCGGCATGACTAAACAACCGGGTGCTCTTACGAATCAACTGCTTAGGATGCGTATCTGTGGCAGGGACATGTAAATCGAAACAGCACATGTGGGTTGTGAAGGAGTGATGACACCAACTGACAAATTGTTGGTCATCTCAAACGCAAGATGGGCTCGGATGCTCAAACAACACACGACCACCTAAGGCAAGTTGCTGACGGATCAGGCGTTCGCAAAAGGCGTTCTGCTTCTTAAGGAGCAAAGGACGTTTCAACACCTCATGGATGGGCATTCGAAGGGCGTTGATATGGAACCAACCCCCAGCATTGGTGCAGGGAAGACATACCACCAGGAGTTCTGGTGGGTGTTGACTCAGCTCTGTTTCTACCCACCGAAGGCCCATCTTCTCCACCTCAGGAACAAAGCGCGGCGGACAGAACACTTCAACCACTCCATATTTGGCACCTATTTGAGGAGTTTTGGTGGCACTTTTGACCTGGTTGCCAAGTTTCCGGAGTTGCTTCTTTGTGAGACTTCCATCTTTCTTTCTAATGGGAATGTTGGCCGCTGCATGACATGAATGGGAGGGACACGGACAAGACACACCCTCGGTCGAGGGGGCAGGACAACAGACCTGATTATCCCGATTATCCCCACCATTATTCAGCTTATCCCCATTATGCCCAAATTTATCCTTATTACCCTTACTTTGGTCAACCGGTTCATCGGCTATTCCCGGAAAAGGCACTTCACTCGGTTCAGGGCAATCGGAGGGACCATGTGCACCTCAGTCTTGACCGTCTTGGCCTCAAACTTGGGAAAGTCCATGACGTCAAGAACATACTGTCCAGCTGCATTAGATGTCAGATCGATCTCAACAGCACCAGAAAACAGGCACATACGATCTCTGTCAAAATCCAGCACCGCTCCAAGCTTCTTCAGAGCCGGTCTGGACAGGAGCAGGGGCGCATCACCACGAACGATGGCAGCTTGCACAGTGCCGTATCGGCCTGCCAAGCCAATCGGCATCAGTACCACTTTCGTGGATGTTTCACGATCACAGTTTCCAAATTTGAACACGTTGGTCTCACTCTTGAACTCCGGGTTGAATGTTCCATCCTTACTCCAGATATCTTGAAATTGTCGCAGTGTGTGTTCGCCAAGGATGGTTTTACCGCACCCCGAGTCAATGACTGCATACCCAGGACTGCTCACCAGGAAAACCTGCGCGGGGCTGATTCCGACAAGACCGTCAGTGAATCACTGTTTGCCACACGTGCAGAGAGTTGTTGCACCAAGGTTTGATGACACCCCACCGACGCCACAAACTGAGGCATCTCACTCACACCAGGCTCTTCTGGGATGACATAGCTGGCACCAGTTTCTTTGGAGAAGGTCTTAGAGGTAGTAGACGAAGAGGATGCATGTGGAGCTACAGGGTCGCGTTTCTGACGACACTCACGAGCCCAGTGTCCAACACGACCACAGCGATTGCACTTTGTTTGACGTTTCATCTCCTCAATCTCCACCCGGAAGGACCGTTTAAGATCCCACGCCTGATCAAAGCGCCTGGACTCCTGTAGCTTGGCAATCTCAGCTCGTTTCTCCTTCCATGTCGTGGCTAACACTTCTGCCACATCACCTTCCAAAAACTCAGATGTGTCATCAGCTTGAGGGGGAAGTTCATGATCGGCCAAAAACAGTTCTATATCATCAAAACCAGCAACGTCTGAATTAGAAGGAGGGGTCATTGTCGGATCATCCTGGACTAAGGCCACTGCCTTTCGCAGATTGACGACAAAGTCCGGATAACAGCTCCCCATCGCCTTGCTGATCTCCTCACGTTTGAGAACTCCCAGTGACCTACCTTTCACACAGCTTGTTGTTCCTCGTTCAGCCCACTCCACTTGAGCAGCATGAAGCCTCTGGCTTCCTCCGGGAATTTTACCCCGCTTTTGCGCTCGCAACGGTCGAACAACTCCGTTGCTCTACTGATCCAGCTTCTAAGGGACTCGCCATCTTTGGCACGCAGGTTGAAAACTTCGTTCAGAACCTCAGCCAGCTCGTCAGTCTCATCTCGCTGAGGAAATCTGGCCTCTAACAAACGAAGCAAAACTGTTTCACCATCGTCTTTCTGATATTCCTTGGGGTCCACATGTTCGACGGTCTCCAAGGCCTTCCCAGACAGACATGTAAACAGATAAGAACCCCGTGCTTCCTTCGGCAGCTTGTCCAAGGTCTGGAACTTGTTCAACAGCCACAGTTTCCACCTCCTATATTCCTTGTGATCCTCCGTCTCACCGCTAAAATAGCGGACAGCTCCAGTTCCATCAGAGCTTGAAGACATTCTCAAAGGTATAGGATGCTGTGCTCGACGTTTGAAATGTCTATGATATTTCCATGGGATTACTATGGGTTTTCAAGCGGGTTCCTGAAGGATTTCCATGATATTTCTATGAAAATTCTATGGGATTTCTATGGGATTTCTATTAGATTCCTGTAAGGTTTCCATGATATTTCTATAAGATTTCTATGGGATTAATATGGGGATTTCAAAAGGATTTCTATGGGATTAATATGGGGATTTCAAAGGATTTCTGTGGGATTTCCATGGGATTCCTATGGCGTTCCTATGAGATTTCCATGGGAGTTTTATGGGGTTTCTTTGTGGTTCCTATGCTATTTCCATGGGATTTCTAAGGGATTTCTGTGGGATGTCTATGGTATTTAAAAAAGATTTCTATGATATGTCCAAATGATTTCTAAATGGACCGACATGAATTGAAAATATGAGTTGAGTTATCCTTAGTATTCTTTTGATAAGGAAAATGAGTCGAAAGTAAATTGATATGAATCAAACTCCTTACTTACCAAAAGGACAGTCAAGTGAAAGTAGATGGATATCTATCGAAGTCCGAAGTCCTGTCTTACCCTTACATTTTCTTGAGGTGCTAAAGGAAAATGAATTGAAAGTAGATGAATATCTATCGAAGTCCTTACTTAGATTCAGGCAATTAAATTGAATTCCATTGAATTCCTTTCTTTTCAACTGATTTCTTGAAAATTTCAAAAGGAAAATCAGATGAAATCCATTGAAAGTAAATTGAAATCAATTGAACGTAAGTTAAAATCAATTGAAAGTAAATTGACAATCAATTTAAAAAAATTGAAATTAATTGAAAGTAAATTGAAATCAATTGAAAGTAAATCGGAATCAATTGAAAGTAAATTGAAAACAATTGAAAGTAAATTGAAAACAATTGAAAATAAATTGAAAACAATTGAAAGTAAATTGAAAACAATTGAAAGTAAATTGATACTAATTGAACGTAAATTGAAATTAATTGAAATCTTTACTTAAGATATCTTAAGATCATGAACCAAAATCATTCAGACCCCGATCCCTCTTTAGGACATACGTGTGTCCCAAATGGTGAATTTCCCCCAGTATTCACCATACGCCTTCAGCACTTAGCGCCAAGAAGCATGGCCGTGACTCCCACCACGCAAAGGACGAACTCCGACAGTTGGAGAGGGGACACCGCCATGATGGCAACTGTCGCAGCTAGATTCCCCACCGCATGGATGTTGATGCTTGCCCGGGTCCCTGCGAAAGCAAGGCTGGTCATCTCGCAACAGATGATGTTTCCGGTGAGGCACCAATTCAATGCCGCCAACAAATTGCGAAACCAAGGGACCTGACCATCCGAACCACCATCCGCCTCTGTTTGAGCTGCCCGCAGCTCAAAGTTGATGGATAAGGAGATCTTGGCGATTTGCCACAGAAGTTGGAAGAGCAACGCGAGTACCACAAAACGCTTCGAGAAGGTTCCAAAGGCATTCCTTATTGCTGGTTCATGCTGGTTCGCCACTCTTTAAAAAATGTGATCTCTAGGAATCAGCAACCCAAAATCTTGCAAAGGCATTCCTGCTTGGTGGTTGACCAATTGAAAAAAATACATGAATCATCAGGAATCATCAACCAAAACAATGGAACCGTCAAAACATCCGAAACCACCAACCTAGATTCAGTTCGGTATTGTGTACATCAACTTGGAGAGTCTCAGCGATCAACATGTCTGCATCCACCACCACATGTCCAGACATCTCCACCAAAATGTCGCCCGTCTCATCTGTCAAAGTCACATGCCTCGGTTTGCCCGTGATGCCATAGCGAATGGTCAAGTGATGATTTTCCGAAAGCTCAATGCCATCTGGCCTTGGAAAGCGCGAAGTTGGAACAACTTGGTGAAAGTGTTGGGTTTATGGGGAATATCACGAACTAGTTTTCATGGGGGTTATACACAAAACTTGAAACTGGGAGGCCTCACCTTCTGGAATATGAAACATCAAAAATATCACACACGTCAACTGCAGAGTCCTGTAGAGACTGGGCGAGAAGAATCCCCCTTTGCGTCAAGTGGATCCTCCAGTGGAACAGGATCCCCGAGAACTACCCAAAATTAAAGGACCGGAAAACCCCACAAGGCAATTTCTTCCAATAATGAGTGAGCGCCAAGGTTGTAGCAGGGACGGAGAAGGAAGGAAAGGCAAAGGAGGTGGTGAAGGATCGAAAAGTTAAAACAGTTGTATGTGACAAAGTGGAATGTGAAAGATGGTGTGCGACGAAGGAAGATGGTGTGTAGGCCGGCGTGTGACAAAGCAGTGTGTGAAATATGGTGTGTGTGTGTGTGAAAGTTGTGTGTGGAAGAGAGCGTGTGACAAAGTTGTGTGTGAAAGATGGTGTGTGACAAAGTGGTGTGTGAAAGATGGTGTGGCGAAAGATGATGTGTGACAAAGTTGTGTGCGAAAGATGGTGTGTGACAAAGTTATGTGTGAAAGATGGTGTGGTGAAAGATGGTGTGTCCTGCCACGCAAAACGACGGTGGATGTAAGTTTGTGTCACGCCTGCCACGTGAAATGAAGCTGGATGTCACCAAGTACCACGCCTGCCACGCAAACAGCCGCGGCGTCACGGGCGACAAATCCGGACCAAGCGCGCCACCCAGTCCCATAAGTGCCACGCCTGCCACGCAAGCCACGCAAAACGATGGTGGATGTAAGTTTGTGTCACGCCTGCCACGTGAAATGAAGCTGGATGTCACCAAGTACCACGCCTGCCACGCAAACAGCCGCGGCGTCACGGGCGACAAATCCGGACCAAGCGCGCCACCCAGTCCCATAAGTGCCACGCCTGCCACGCAAAACGACGGTGGATGTAAGTTTGTGCCACGCCTGCCACGTGAAATGAAGGTGGATGTCACCAAGTACCACGCCTGCCACACAAACAGCCACGGCGTCACAGGCGACAAATCCGCACCAAGCGCGCCACCCAATGCCATAAGTGCCACGCCTGCCACGCAAAACGAAGGTGGATGTGAGTTTGTGCCACGCCTGCCACGTGAAATGAAGGTGGATGTCACCAAGTACCACGGCTGCCACGCAAACAGCCACGGCGTCACGGGCGACAAATCCGGACCAAGCGCGCCACCCAGTCCCATAAGTGCCACGCCTGCTATCTGTGAGTTTGTGCCACGCCTGCCACGCAAAACGACGGTAGATGTGAGTTTGTGCCACACCTGCCACGCAAAACGACAGTAGATGTGAGTTTGTGCCACGCCTGCCACGCAAAATGCCGCGGCGTCACGGGCGCCTAAACCAAGGCCAAGCGTGCCACCCAGTGCCATCTGTACCACGTTTGCCACGCAAAATGACGGTAGATGTCAGTTTGTGCCACGCCTGCCATGCAAAAATGCCGCGGCGTCACGGGCGCCTAAACCAAGGCCAAGCGCGCCAGCCAGTGCCATCTGTACCACGCCTCCCACGCAGAACGACGGTAGATATCATTTTGTGGCACGCCTGCCACACAAAACGACAGTAGATGTCAGTTTGTGCCACGCCTGCCACGCACAAGGCCGCGGCGTCACGGGCGCCTAAACCAAGGCCACGCGCGCCACCCAGTGCCATCTGTACCACGTCTGCCACGCAAAACGACGGTAGATGTCAGTTTGTGCCACGCCTGCCACGCAAAACGCAGTAGATGTGAGTTTGTGCCACGCCTGCCACGCAAAATGCCGCAGCGTCACGGGCGCCTAAACCAAGGCCAAGCGCACCACCCAGTGCCATCTGTACCACGCCTGCCACGCAAAACGACGGTAGATGTCAGTTTGTGCCACGCCTGCCACGCAAAACGACGGTAGATGTCAGTTGTACCACGCCTGCCACGCAAAACGACGGTAGATGTGAGTTTGTGCCACGCCTGCTACGCAAAATGCCGCGGCGTCACGGGCGCCTAAACCAAGGCCAAGCGCGCCACCCAGTGCCATCTGTACCACGCCTGCCACGCAAAACGCAGTAGATGTGAGTTTGTGCCACGCCTGCCACGCAAAATGCCGCGGCGTCACGGGCGCCTAAACCAAGGCCAAGCGCGCCACCCAGTGCCATCTGTACCACGCCTGCCACGCAAAACGACGGTAGATGTCAGTTGTACCACGCCTGCCACGCAAAACGACGGTAGATGTGAGTTTGTGCCACGCCTGCCACGCACAAGGCCGCGGCGTCACGGGCGCCTAAACCAAGGCCACGCGCGCCACCCAGTGCCATCTGTACCACGTCTGCCACGCAACAAAACGACGGTAGATGTCAGTTTGTGCCACGCCTGCCACGCAAAACGACGGTAGATGTGAGTATGTGAGAGATGGTATGTGACAAAGTTATGTGAGAGATGGTATGTGACAAAGTTGTGTGTGTGTGTGTGAGTGTGTGTGTGTGTGTGAAGTTATTGTATGTGAGAGATGCTATGTGAGAAAGTTGTGTGTGTGTGAGTGAGTGTGTGTGTGTGTGTGAAGTTATTGTATGTGAAGTGTGACAAAGTTGTGTGTGTGTGAGTGTGTGTGAAGTTATTGTATGTGAAGTTATTGTATGTGAGAGATGCTATGTGACAAAGTTGTGTGTGTGAGTGTGTGTGTGTGTGTGAAATTATTGTATGTTAAGTTTCTGTGTGTGAAGTTATTGTATGTGAAGTTATTGTATGTGAGAGATGCTATGTGAGAAAGTTGTGTGTGTGTGAGTGTGTGTGAAGTTATTGTATGTGAAGTGTGACAAAATTGTGTGTGAGAGTGTGTGTGAAGTTATTGTATGTGAAGTTATTGTATGTGAGAGATGCTATGTGACAAAGTTGTGTGTGTGAGTGTGTGTGAAGTTATTGTATGTGAGAGATGCTATGTGACAAAGTTGTGAGTGTGTGTGTGTGAAATTATTGTATGTTAAGTTTCTGTGTGTGTGAAGTTATTGTATGTGAGAGATGCTATGTGACAAAGTTGTGAGTGTGTGTGTGTGTGTGAGATGGTATGTGACAAAGTTGTGTGTGTATGAAGTTATTGTATGTGAGAGATGCTATGTGACAAAGTTGTGTGTGTGTGTGAAGTTATTGTATGTGAAGTTATTGTATGTGAGAGATGCTATGTGACAAAGTTGTGAGTGTGTGAGTGTGTGTGAGAGAGGCGGCGGGAGGCGGAGGAGAAGGAGCCCGGGATACAGAATCAAAAACAAGAACCCCACACAAAGTTGTGGGGAAAAAATGCCTTTTGGAATCCGGGTGGCCCTGTCTTGGTCCAAAACGTCCGAGGCTTGCCCTGGAGCTTCCGAGCGAAGCTGGAGATGCCCATTGTGCCTTTGGGCGGCTGCCAAGTGAAGAAGTCGTACTCCAAGCCATCCGCCGAGGCGGAAAATGTGACCCGGGGATCATCTGGGCGCGTCAAGAAATGAGCCAGACGGCCTCCGGCTGCTAGGCGCCTCTTGGCAAGCACTTCATCTGCTTTGCCGCCATTGCCCACAATGATCAGGCAATGGTCTTTGAACCTTTGGTCATCCAAAGCCATTCTTTAAAGAAGGCAACTCCTGCGAAACATCTTGAGCCAAAAGTTGATGATAGATGAGAGAGCGCTTTTGTGAGAGTGCGTGCCTTGTTCGCATCAAATGGCCACAACATCCAATAACTTTGTAGCATCCAAAATGGTTGAATCTGGTCTCACTGCCAAGGCACTTCTCGTCCAAGACTGCAGAGATGCTTCAGTCCCAACCAGGGCATGTTGGTGCGACCTTGGGAGGCGATGGTAAAGGTCTGGTTTGCAACCACGCTTTCCAAAGAGCTACTAGGCTACTAGGCTATCCTACATGAGAAGCTGGATAGTTCTTGCTCCACACCTCAAATAAATCATACGAAGGCACCTCTCAGAACTGGTTTCAAAAGTCATCACCCACAACAAAAAACAAGCTCATGATCTGGGCTAACCCGTTACAATCCTAACAGCAAGAATGAAAGGACGGAGATGCTCGCTCGAAGTGTCGATTCTCAAGGGTGCTTGCTCAGTTTCGCTCGTTTTGTGATGCGGCTGGGGAGCTAGAACATCGAATTTGGCAGTGTGTTTGCTCGTTGCGTGTTAGAAACGGAGCGGTTGCAACAAAATGGAAACTGTTCAAATAACGTTGTTTTCGGCTAGTGGTTCTGCCAATTGGTTTTAGTTTCTGGAGCGTCAAAAAAATTAAATATCCGTGTGCGCGATGATTTTTGTTCCACTTCCACATCTTCGGCATTGCCAGTCTGCCAAGCTCTGCGGTAAACCCAGGTCTGGTAGGCCATCGTGGCTGCCAGAAGTTTCCCCTTCTCAAAACATCTCAAAACCGTCTATTTTACCACTCTAATGGTTGGTTGAACATGGTATACCCCCACCTGTTAAGAACCAACACCCTCTCACAACATCAGTTGTGCCAGTGTACATATGTGCAACATCTCGGTTCAACAAGGCCTTGAGCCTATAGTTTACTTTTGTATGCCAACAGACAAAAAGGCGCGTACAGCAACAGCTGCAACAGACTGACAACAGGCTGCCTTGTGATTTCACATGGTAGCGGAGCAGTGATCCTGGAAGCATCCAGGTGAGCTCCAACAGGCAGACGGCTTGATCCCAGAACGCTGGGGGACTCTCAACAACAGCTGGAGCAACAAAGGGTAGCAGCCCAACACACCACCACTGCAACGACAAGGAAAGGAAACAAACACAACAACAAAGTGCGCAGGAAGAGGGCTTGATCCCAACTATACAGTGTGGGGGACTCTCAACAACAAGGATGGCAACGGCATATGAGATAGGATCGCCAACAGCAGGAGAAACACAAGCAGAAGCCCTAGCATCAACACACAGGCTGAAGTTGAAACCTCCAACATACGATGGAAACTACGCAACATTCGAGGAATGGAAGTACAAGTTCTCAGCATACATGGGCCTACAAGACAACATCTTTCCACAACTGCTGTCAAGAGCAGAAAGAGCAGCAACAGTGCTCACTGATGCAGAGCTGCTTGGAGCAGCAACAACAATAGAGCAAGGAGAGAAGTGGACACAACTGTGTAACAACCTCAAGCACATCCTCATCAACATCACCAGCGGCCCAGCAGCAACAGTATGCAGACAACACCAAGACGCAATGGGCTTAGAAGTCTACAGGCAACTTTGCAACAGGTTTGCAATACCTGTTGGAACAAGAAGCATAGGCTACCTCACAAAACTACTCAAACCCAAGTTCGACACCAACAACTTTGAGGAGTCCTTCTCAACATGGGAATTTGAGCTTGCACGCTACGAGCGTGACAACAACGCCCAACTACCAGACCAGGTGAAGATAGCAGTTCTCATGAATGAGACAACAGGACCACTTCAACAACACTTACCCCTCAATGGCAGTGCAACAGCAACATATGCTGAGGTGAGGACAACAATCATGGAGTACTACAGGACCACAACAGCGTTCTCAAGACTTCAACAACAGTCGTCTTCAGCAGTCAGCAGCAATCTAGGAGGAGGCCCAGCTCCAATGGACATCGGAGCAACATACAAAGGCAGAGGAAAAGGAAAAGGAAAGCACAAAGGAAAAGGATTCAACAAAGGAGGTCACAAAGGAAAAGGATACCAACGAGAACGAGGAAAGGGCTACGGCGGCTACGGCAGTTACAACAAAGGAAAAGGCAAAGGAAAACAACAGCAATGGTATCAGCCAAAAGGAGTAGAGAATGAGAAAGGCAACAAAGGAAAGTCGAAAGGAATTCCCAACAAAGGAAAGGGAAAGAATCCAACAGCAATATGCTACAGATGTGGTCAACAGGGCCACTTGGCAAAGGATTGCCGAACAGCGGTGTATAACATGGCAGAGACACCGCAGGAACAGAACCAGGATGGAACATCTCAATGGTATGACCCAAACAGTGGGTATGACAACTACTGGTACAGCAACGACCAGTCAGGCAACTATAACATCCAGCCAGCCCAACAACAACAACAACAATAACTTGCTTTGCCAGCGCCACAAACCACAACGCAAACACCAACAATACAACTTGTGGGTGCATTGGGCCATCAGGCAGCAAGTGCCCACAATGAAGCAACCACCACAGCTCAAGCAGTGCAGCAGCAGAGAGGAGACAACGAGGTGGATATTATGATTGACAGTGGAGCAGCAACACACGTTTGTCCAACATGGTTTGCACCAGATACACCACTGTATCCACTACAACATGGACAAGGACCTAGGTTGAGGACAGCAACAGATGAGGATATCCCAGTGCATGGCTACAAATGGGTGTACATGCACAACACCAACAAGCAAACAATAGTTGTTCCCTTCTATGTGTGTGATGTGACGCAACCCATCATGTCAGTAACAAGACTGGCAGAACAAGGGTTCAACACACAACTCAACGAAACACCAACAATCACACACACCAAGGGATTCAACTCAGCACTCAAACAACGAGAAGGCCTATACTTCTTGCCAGTTGTGCTGATCACACTTCCAGCCAACTTGAGGCTTGAAGTCAACCAGACAGCAGAAGGGACAACAGCAAGAATAGCACCAGTCACACTGACTCCAACAGGCATGGAAGTCCTTCGCAACAAGAATGACCTATGGACATTCAACAGCCAAGGTTTCTTGGTAAGAGTCCACAGGACAACACGCAAGGCATTGTTCATGCCAGACAGCAGATGTCCAGTTCCAACAGAAAGGTTGGAGAACTACAGAAGAACAATCATACAAAGACCAAATAACAACACAGAGGTCATCGAAGAAGCATACCAAGACCTCGACAAGAAGCAACAGAAGAGGATCATACTAGGAAACAACTGGACAGGAGAAACATGGTTCAAAGTGAAACGTGGAACAGTACTTCCAGGCAACATACCACCACAACCAGCACTTCCACCAGCCAAAGAGCCAGCGACACCATCTCAACAAACCACAGCCGACCAACCACAAGCACCAATGTATCGACACAACGTGAAGAAGCCTCTCACAGAGGTAAGGCCAACAGGCCAAGCAATGACCACAACGCAGCCATATCAAACAGCAATTCCACATCCAAAGGAAGTCAGTCCAACACAGGACTATTGGATCAAAGAAGGTCCATATTGGAAACGTGTGCATGTTCAACCAAGAAGGGACATGTACATTCCACAACAAACAGATGATGGACCAGATGTGACAAGACTGAACACATGGAGACAAACAATGGTGAGGCCAACAAGTGGCAACAGAGGATATAGAATAGATGATGACTGGACGACAAAGAGGAGAGCAACACTCGACATAGAGTGGACAGGCTCAACAAATTTTGAAGAAAACGCAGCGTACAAAGATGAGTTCATCACAGATGAGCCAGAGGAGCAACAAGAAGCTAAGAGAGCAAAAGGAGTGCCAACACCACAGCAACCAACAGAACAAGAAAGAAGAGAACACGAGCTCACACACCTTCCCTACAGAAGCTGGTGTCCAACATGCGTACAAAGCAAAGGAAGACAGGACAACCATCCAAAGCAAACAAGCAAAACACCAGTGATCCAAGTGGATCTGATGTACTACAAAGCACTAGGAGAAAAGCAAACAACATCAGTCCTTACAGCAGTGGACGTTGAAACAGGCATGTGTATGGCAGTCCACGTACAATACCTGTCAGCTTGCCTTCAACAATTCCTGATGGAATGTGGCAGAACACATGCAATTCTCAACAACACCGTTCTTCAATCAGACCAGGAAGACTTCATCATCTCCTTGCTCAAGATGGTGGCAACAGCCATGGGTAGCAACATAGCAGTCAGGCAAGCACCAGCCTACACATCACAAGCACAAGGAAGCGTTGAACGCTTCCACAGAACACTGATGGGCCAAGTGAGAGCCATCAAACTCCAACTGGAGACCAACTATGGCATCAAGCTCAACAGCAGGCATCCCATCATGCCGTGGCTAGTCAAACACGCAGCATACCTGCTCAACAGGTATTCCATCCACTCAGATGGAAACAGAAGCTACTATAGACGATGGGGCAAAGAACACAAAACACCAATATGTGAATTTGGTGAAACAGTTCTTTACATGCTACCAACAGCAAAGCAGATGCCAAAGATGGAAGCAAGGTTCTACCCAGCCATTTGGCTAGGTAAGGACAACTCAACAAACGAGAACATACTTGGCATCAGCAACAAAGTGGTCAAAGCAAGGACCATAAGAAGACAAATAAAGCCAGACAAGTACAACAAGCAGTTGATGGACATCATCAACTCTTCGCCAGCCATGATACCACCAACAACACCAAGCATTGTGGTACTACCACAACCTGCTGCAGCAAAGCAGCAGACAACAACAAGCACACAGACTCAGCAGAGTCCACAACCAAAAGCCATGGTACAACCACACACTACACCACCACCAGCACTCACAGACCTTCCAATGGCAACAGCGCCAGCAACTCAGCAAGCAAAGCAAGCACTTCCAATGCCAACACAAAGCAAGAGAGAAGTAACAGACGAGATTACACAAGGCAGCTCACCAA